ATGTGCCATCGGATGTCCTCAGTCCAGATTTTAAAACCTTGCCACTGTGACATACTCCAATCATCTCCAATCGAACTGGGGCTGTCACCAAGGACTATGACGAGCTCGTAACTGGCCGACGACGAGAAGGGCAATTCACAATGGCACGAGACCTTGTCCCAAAGATTTGCGAAATTCCGGCCGATGCTCTGCCCTTTCTGCTGATGAGCTGCCTGGCCAGCTGAAGACATTGACACTGACCACGAGATACCGCGAGAAATCAGTAAATATATGTAACATGTATATAATTGTATATAAATATAGATCATAGGTAATCGTGGGAGAAGGAACCACAAATTCATGGCCATTCTCGTTTTCAGATTGTTTAGTTAGAAATTGGTCAAATTGCCGTGTTTGCATTTTTATTGTCTCGTTTTCAATCACTGTCTTTTGCTCTTCATAATTCACTTGTTTCAATACGTTTCGTTTCAGTTGTAATTTGTTGCCTTCAAAGGTTCTTGCATAGTTCCATGGATGACAGAGGCTGTATTTTTGCATCCCTTCTACGCACAATCTTGTTTCTTCACGGAAGGCTACTTCCAGTACAACCCAGACTTAGCAGAGCAGCCTGAAGAAGTGCAGTGGATCATTCGAGGATCATTCTCTATCGTCCCAGGATTGGCAGGATTGTTAGGAACTGTGGTTTTATTCTGGTTCACCCTGCGCACCAACGAATCTTGGACATTCATGGATGGGACATGATCCACCGGACATTCCTATAGGGTTGGTTCATTGTTAGTTTTTTGTTGGCTCGAGGAGTAAGATGGAAGCAAAAGTAGGCAAAATCTATCCAAGACATTCCAAAACCAAGTTGCTGGTCTGAGCATTCAGCCGCAAAGGCGATCTAAGCCGTCACTGTGTAAGGCATGATGCTAAGGAGAGAACGCTCTCCGGGCAATGGTAAATTTGGTAAATCGGTAAAGTGGTAAATTTCGCCGCTCTTCGGGCCATGGGAAATTGGGTAAATCGGTAAAGTCGTAAATTTTGCTGTGCCCGGGCAAAGGTAAATTCGGTAAATCGGTAAATCAGTATCTTGTTTTATCATGATGCAACTTTACGAATTTACCGTTTTACGGTTTTACCGCCTCTTCCTCCTCACGCTCCAGTACATTGATACATTGCGCCTTTACGCATTTACCATTTTACGGCTTTACCGTCTTCTCCTGTTCGCGCTGTCCACGAAAAAGCATAAATTTACCACTTTACGGTTTTACTTTGGTTTCCTTCGCTTCCACACCTCCTTTACGGTTTTACGCTCTGAAAGCGGCACGCTCAGATCGTAAATTTACGAATTTATCGTTTTACGGGGCGTTTCTCGGGAACAATGGAATTTACCATTTTACGGTTTTACCGTTTTACGGCGCGCCTTGGCAAAAGACGTGCCTTAGACCCGCGCCTTACACAGAGACACCACAGTTTCCTGCACCGCTTAAGGAACAGCATGAGCAGATCATCAATGGCATCATAGATCATCAAGCAGGCTTGTCTGTTACGGATCCTTTGACAGGATTGCTCCTCCCTCCTATCAAGCCTTTGTCTGATGGCTCTGTGACTTTGCTGAACAGTTTTGCTTGGAAGAGGCCTCATTATTCTGTCAACACATCATATTTCAATTTCAAATCATATATCATGTATTATCATGTAACACTTGACTTTTTTGACCTCTGATCTTACACAATCAGTGCCTTCAGGTTGAGTACTCTGGTTCTATTGTGGGTGCTCAAGAGATCAAGATCTTGGAGCATTTCTTTGCTTCAGAAATAGCTTGGGCATGTGACTCTCAAAATGCAGCGCGGTTGCACAGCTGATTGCGCATATTGCACCTGCAAGTTCGCTGCTCTCTTGAGCTGCGGGCGCTAACTACACCTGGTTGCCCTGTCCCTGACCAGAAACCATGAGTTTACTCTCCGCTTCACTCTTTTTAGGGGCTTCAATCGGCTTCAATCTTTCAGACTCCTTTTTTTTTTTTCAGCTCTTCAGTGCTAATTAATTATCTTCCGGTTGAAGTTGCCGCTCTATGCATTTCTCCATGTATATGAAGCGAGTAGCAGCATAGCCTATGCATAGCCGCCACCTCACCCCCTGCCCACCAGATCCAGCTGCTTATCAGCTGCTTAAGAGTCAGGTCGGCAGATTGAAGATCAAACCATTGATCTACCTGGTGATATCGCTCTTACTCGTCATCCCTGGTGTCTTCCTGACTATCGAAGGACCAGGGTAAATGCCTGAGACATTGATGGAAAACAAAAGCCATACGCTTTAGCTTACCCACACACACACATTCTATATTCTATAGTTATATATCATTATATATCTATGTAATATATAATATATGTGTGTATATATGCGAATATGCACAACAACCAAACAAAAATATATGGACACATCCTCAGCCTTACTCTCGCCCCAGCCACCGCTCCGATGGACCTAGCAGGATGGCCTGCCTTGTCGAACGGAGAGAGCTCGTGGGCACCAGTGCCTTTGCCAGAGCACCAGTCAGATCACAAGGATCTCAACATCAAAAAATTCAGCAAGTGATCGCAAGTGACCGATGCTTCAAATTCCTTACCACTGAGAGAGGATGCTGTTGAGACATTTTATAACATTTTCATCATGGAACTTCCAGAGTTACTCCAGACTCACACACCCCACTCTGTACTGTGCAGCCAGTTGCAAACTGAGTTTGGTCAATGTTCCGGAAGCCATACAGTATTTTCCGTCTTGTTGGTGTTCCCTTCACTCCACTGAACATATTTTGAACAACATAATATGAATTGAATGGCCGCCGGCCAGGATCAGGTTGACAGGTCATGATCAGATTGTTTGGCTGAGACGGGCGTTGGCAGTGGCAAAGGTCCCATTTTCATCGAGAGTTAGAAACCTCAGCTTTTCATGATGGCTCTTGGTGGCGATCTCCTAATCTGACACTTCTCTGACCAAGGTGGGCATCATCCTTCTGGGCTTCGCCTTTATCGGCTCCGTCTTCAGTGCAGAGAGGATACGACAGGGCATCAAGGCACATGGCTGCGTGCAGCTGAAGGACTTGGAGGTCATGAGCCATGACCGAACCATATTGAACCAATATGAACCAATTGAACGCTTCCAAGTCAGGCTGAGGGGGCGTTTTCTTTGGCATGGGAAAAAGCTAGAACTTAAACCAGTGACATCTAAGCGAAAGGGCTTGCTGGGTTCAGATACATTGAGAATTATTGAGATATTGAGATTTTGCGTTTCACACTCCGTCCATCTCCGCCCTTCTCCGCCCTTGATTGGATGGAAGTCAACATCATGGAACGACAATCATGCTGCATGTCATGCTTTCGCAAACTCTGCAAACTCATTATTTCAAGCGCTCCAGTTCGACCCAAACCGAGGAAGGCCATTCACCAGTCGCGTGGGCGAATCCCAGGTGGGCAGAAGGTTGCGCCTGAGGAGTGGCAATTGGCCCATTTTTGGATCCATTCTTTTTTTGGTTTCTAAGATCTTCTACTGATCCTATTGTGAATGAACCATCGGAACCATTGCGTCCGATTGCTTGAATTCTCTTCACGGGTTGGGGCTCAGCACTGTCCGCTACTCTGCTTGGTATTCTGATGTATTCTGTATGTGCAGCTGTCAAGGAGAATCAAGTGCAAGAGAAGGAATGATCAGGCTGATCTCTCCATGTTGAGTCCTTTGTTATAGATTTTTGCAACCCTGGCTGCTGGGTATTCTGTGAAGCACAGTATGAGCAGTACACAGCGTCGGCAAAGCCGGCTGTGATTCTCAGTAGTATGTCTTCTCCCTTGGAACTGGTCTCCGTGTCCCAAAAGGATCGTGTACCATGCGCGCTGGAAACATCGTGGACCGATCCCGGGGGAATTTCAAAGGGTGCTTCAGGAGCACCCAGAAGACATAACACCGAATTCTTTTGCAACCGCTCATGGCGGACCGTTTCTGTCTTTTGCTCCTTTTCTCAAAACCACTCATGCATGAAGCCAAAAGGCAGCGTGCTTTATTCCATGTTCACCACCACTCCAGTACTTGGCTAAGTTCCATGGGTTTCTTCCATCACACGACAAAGCAAACATCATTTGCTCTTGTTCAACCAAGGAAACGGGGCTATAGGCTATAGGGCTATAGGGTCTCGCATTGTTTTCCAAGATCAGTTCGTGGAGATTTGAAGTGCCGGGGCTGGTGGGCTCGCACAGTTCACCATAATGGTGCGCCAGTTCGGCGGGGCATGGTACGATCGGACTACGATTGGCAGTAATTAGTTGCCATATTTTGCGAATTATTTGTTGAAAAAAGTTCCTGCTGCCAGACAGATCCTGATGTTGAGAAGTGTGCAAGAGCCTTGTCGGCTTTAGAAACGAGCACTTCTGGACTGGTGTCAGATAGCTGGATATCAGCTATGATGAATACTGACGAGGTCACCATGATGATATATCTATATATATATAGATAATGATATATATAATTACACACACAGATATATATATATATATATTATATGGATGATATGTTGATGCTGCGGTGAGGTTGACGCATTTCTAGACGAACTGCACGACTCAGGAAGCAAAGCTGATGTCAGGCGCCTATTGCCATGACCTAAGAAGTGATGCAGGGCAGAGGAACATGACACTGACATGTCTTTGGCATGTTATTACTAACTGATTAATCAATGATGAAAGTATACAAAGGTCCGAATTATTTTCCTGCAGTGTTTGTTTTCCTGAAGGGTTTTTGCTGCTGGTAAGCACTTCCTGCAACATATGGATGAAAGATGTGCAGCGAGAAGCCAAGAGCTCAAGCAAGACACGCCGTCGCTAGAGCAGCAACAAATATGGCACTTGGAGTTCCGCCAGTTGCAACTCATGATGCTCCCACTAGATTTCTTGGCCTCCGTCACTCAGGGCATGCACATAGCCAAAATGATCAAAATGATATACCCTTCGAACATGTGCTGACCATTTATATAGATACCGGTATGATTTGGTATGTTTAGATACTGTTATGATACAGTTCATGAAAGAGGACTGAGAAGTACCTATTTAATGTACTTAAACATCAAGTTCCTGAATGTTTAAATCATTCGCTTTTTCCGATTTTTCCTATGCAACTCGTTGATTCATTTCACTCAGGTGTTTGCTGCTGTCCACGAGATCTAGAGGAAGAGACCTGGGTTGTGGCTGATGCAATGCGAGCTGATCATGGCCAAGCAGTGCAGGAAAAGCAGGTGGATTTTGCCATGTTTTGCCAATAGCGCCTCACGAAGAGGTGAAACAAGGCATAGCAAGGCGAATGTTTGTATATGGCCACCTGTATTTATATGCATTTAATATCATTTAATTGTATTTGTGTCATATAACCGAAGGAAGTTTAGAAGTCAAACTTCTGACAATATGGACAGATGAAGCAGCAGACGTGGGAAGAGGCAGAGAAGAGAAAGGAAGAAGAAAGAAGATCAGAGAAGAGAAAGCGTCAGAAGAAAGAAGATGCAGGTGCGCGAAAAGGCAGAAAAGTCGCGAAACACTGTGTTTTTCCAATGTGTTGTGACTCCGGAAAACGCTAAAAACACTGCATTCTCGGAGCATTTTTGGAAGTCGCGACGTTGAACAAGTGCACAAGGCTGTGGTGAGACGCGCATTTCGAGGCCAAAATGGTCAAAACACCCCATTGTTGGAGCACTTTTGGAAGTTAAGATGTTCAAAAAGTGCACGCTGTTGTGGCGCAAAGCACATTTCCAAGCAAAAATGGTCAAAACCCCGGTGTTAGAAGTTCAGTGCTTGAAAAAGTGCACGCCGTTGTGGCGCGAAGTCAGCATGTTTAAAACACACCACGTTCGGACCACTTTTGGACGTTGAGATGTTCAAAAAGTGCACGGGGTTGTGAGTCCAACTTTTGGACGGCCAATCGTCGTTTTATGTGGCAGGCGCAATGGATGCTGCATTTGGCTAAAAGTGAGCCAAACATGTGGTTTTGCAGCATTTTCAAAAACCATAGCAGGCGTGAGACAAGAGACATGTTAACCTGCACTCGATTGGAGGTCGCGGTGCTGATTTCGTGAGAAAGGTTGCATTTTGGAGCATCAGGTCTGCAGGCTTGCTAAGATGATTTTGGTTGACAGGTGGAGCACTTCGTATGACCTGGCCTCACTTTTTCGTGGCAGAGGCAGTACTTTAGACTAAATGGGGTAGAAAAATTCTAAACGCAGTGATGCGAGGCCGTCAGCTCTACACTCAACTGTCCATTTTTCAGGAAGTCTCGTAGAATTGCTTCGTTTTTGACGTTGTCAATTCAGAAATAAAAGAAGTCGCGCATATATAATTTATTCGTTTTGGATCAATTGCAACCGGCACCAGTTGATTAAGCATGACATGTCCGATGTATGTTTGCCCGAGTGTACTCCAGCCATTGTGTCCTTTCTGACAAATTTTGCTAATCAATCAACTTGGTGTCGTGGAGGTACCACAGTGGAGGCATACACACCGTGGTCTGTCATTTTAGTTGATTTGATTTCTAGGTTGGGTTTTTGTCCCCCACTTCTAGCTTCCACCATGGGCTTCAGTAAATTGGTTCGCCAGTGTAACTGTTACTCTCATCTTGAATTCATCTTGTCTCAGGCCTTACCTGGTTCACCGCATTCGGTCCCCAATAACTGCCTTGGATCTGCTTTTGGCCTTCGTCGGCAAGTTGCTTTTGGGGCCCATCTGGTTCCAGCATTGCCCACCAATATTTGGGCTACTTTCACCCAGGCTAGCTAATATTGTTCCCACAATTTATTGAAAGGATGTCCACGGCCCCGAGCCAGATGGGTTCCCGATTGGTCACTATGTCAGATTCCACCGTGATTACACAAACTTTTGGTGCTGCGAGCGAGCGTGCATGTTTAAATTAGATGTGAGGTTTGCACATGAGCCTGCAAGGCACGAAATCAGACAGGGAAAAAATATTAGGGGGTGAAACCCTGACATGGTAGCTTCACTTTTAAATTGTTTTCTAAAGGGAATCAATTAAAAATCAAACTGGCCAACCTCAAATTTTCCAAAATTGGACACGGCCCTGTTTTTATTATTTGGGAAAGGTCTAGTAATAGGGGGCAGGGATTAATTGCTTCCTTTTGGGATAGATGGATAGATAGAGAAAGAGAAAGAGATAGGGATAGAGATGGAGATGGAGATAGAGAGGGACAGGGAGATATGTAATAGACAGACAGGCAGATAGATAGATGGAGGGATATAGACACAGAGAGAGAGAGAGAGAGAGAAAGATGACAAGATAGATACAGAGATCGGGAGAGATTGACAGAGAGACAGAAAGATGGATAGAGAACTAGATAATCGGTAGAGAGAGAGAGAGAGAGGGAGACGGATGGATGGATGGATGGATGGATCGTTAGCTAGCTAGCTAGCTAGATAGATAGACAGATAGATAGATAGGTAGATAGAAAGATAGAGAGTGAGAGAGAGAAACACGCAGAGAATTAGACAGAGAGAGAGAGAGAGAGAACGAACCAGGGCCTCAACCACCTTCCGGTCCATCGTTCTGCCATCCATGCATTCACAGCAACTCCTCTCCTATAGGTTTTTTATCCTTGAAACTTCCGCCACCGCCTTGTGCGGTACTACTGGTATGATCTGGTATTATAATGTATTATATATTTAGTGAACATAAATAACACACACACACACATATATATATATATACAGATCATTTAATAATTATCATATATATTACTTAAACTATATGGCGATCGTGGGGGAGAGAGAGAGATAGAGAGAGATATATATATAGATAGATAGATCGACAGACCGTTAGATGCATCGATAGATAGATAGACAGACAGACAGATAGATAGATAGAGATAATTACGTATAATTATACATATGATTGTCAGTCTAAAGGTCCATGTGGAGATTGGCCATTACAAAGGCCGCCATGTGCAAGAACAATACTACAGTATATGATGTCGTTGCCCATCTAAAACCTGGCAGTGCTTCAAGTTGAGCCCCTTTTCCCTGGCCAGGTGCGAACGCGAAGCGGTCACAGGCATCGCCTTCTGGATGGCCTTTGGGATGTTTCCAAAATGGTCAAAGTATGTCAATGTGTCATAGACCGCTCTCCTTGTCGCACGTCACCAGGAGCATTGCATTTATTGAGGGCGTGGAAGTCTTTGTGGAGAAGAGGACGCGGTGCAAACGTGTGTTCAAAACATTTCACGTGCTGGAAGAAAACGTTGTTGATGGAGGGGTTTTGCACATTTATGAGCGACTATCAACAGTATAAACGTCTATAACCCCTACCATTGGGGTTTGATGTTGAAGGAGATTGGCCATGGAACGCACCATGATGAACTTGAGCGCCTGGTCGCAGCTCTTGGCACATTTGTGCCTCGGTTCATCCCCATGTCACTGGCATCTCCATTGTTGATGGGTTAATTTAGCACAAAAAACTTTGGTGAAAATTGCAGCATCATATAGCACATAATATATTATCCCAATTATTTATCCCTTTATATACTCTTGATATATGATAATTATTCACGTTTTCCGGTATCTGTGAATATCCCGCCATATTATTCCACTTTTTCATGAAAATTGTCAACCCCGGATTCATAAACTTTGGCTATGAATCGCTATTACTTGGGCGGGTTACCCTCTTATTATATAAAATAATGTTATAACATGTATAAATTGCCATTATCATTGGCACCCTTCTATTAATCCACCGGTGGTTCCGGTTCATCCTGGGCCAACAAAAAAACATCGTTGCGACCGCATCAGTTGTGGCTTTGCGGCGATCGAAGCAGGGGGCGCCTTGCAACACATGGAGTGGTTTGCCAGTGGCCCGTATCTTGGACATTGGACGGGGGGCAACTTGGACAAGGATGACATCTTGAAACTTTAAAGTACTAAAAAATAGCAAGTATTGTACTATAAAACTATATATAAATTTTTGGACTTCGATTGATTTCTGTAAAAGATGATTGTTTCTCAAGATTAAACCAGGGAACCCTGCAGTTTTAAGGCCCATGGCGGGAGTGGTAAAGCAGTGCATTTCATGGCAAGGGTAAGAGCCTAGGCAAAAGGAGCCTAGGCAAAAATCCATATATGTGCAAGAAGAGGATTTGCTTATTTGTCACTATTTGTCTCTTGTTTGTCTCTTATTTGCCACTTTTTTTTCTTAATCACTATTTTGCATATTTTCTCTTATTTTCCACTGTTTGAAGGTCAGTGCCTATCATAATCTTCTCTCGGCGTGCATTCAAGGAAGATGCTGAGTACGAGAATTGATGTGAGAAGTCAACAAATCATATAATAGTCATTTTGAGAGCAAAGCAAGTGACAAAAGGGTAGCTAGAAAAATGAAGTAAAATAGCGTCTAGCAACAAAGACTATAGGATATGATATAATATGATAAAAGGAAAAATGTTTTACTTTCGGACTCCCTCGGTTGCAGACCTCATGTCCTGAAGCCATGGATGTTGATCCTTTACTGGAAGAAACTCGTGGCGATCAGTTTCCATATGGAGACCAAAGTTGCCCGGCTGACACATCAATCTGAGTGAATGATGGATGTGATTATGTTTTTATTGATTTTCCTGAATGATAGTTATCGTCACCCTTGTTGATTTGTTCCCTCTGTCTGAGGTTTTTTTCGCTTGGGAAGGGCGTCATTGGTGGGCTGGGAAGCACGAGAAAGACCAGCCCAGTGCCAGTGGAGTGTGCAATATGTGTATAGCGCATTGAAGACCTTTGAAACTAGTGAGAACGATGAGGGTTTTGCAGCATTAGATCGCAGAGAACAACAAAGTAGAGCAAGATCCTAGGTAGAGAGATGGTTGTGTTCTTAGATGTTTGTTGGTGACCACCTGATTCAACACACTCTTTTCCCCAATTTAAAATTATATCATTTTGTTAATTCCAACACACGCCTCGCTAAGGAAATTGGAAACTGTCCAACATGAAGTCTTGGGTGAAGGCCCACAAGAATCTTTGGCCACATGAGGCGGTGCCTGAGTTGCTAGAACCTGCAGCTAAAAGCAAGTTAGAAGGAGAGCGTGACCAATCGTTTTTCGTAGAAAGCACTATACCGACTTCCATGCTTTTTTCAGCACTGGCATCAGCTATAATTCAAGGCCGGAGTGCGTTCAGATTCCGGAGTGCGGCTTCGAAACTTCTGTATGCCATACTTCAAAAGTTGCTCCAGACTGGAGAAATGAATGTTCATTTCACTCAAGAAGGTCAAGAATTTGGGATTCACATTCCGGCTGGTGGTGGTTTTCCTTCAGCAGTGCTGTTTGCTCTTTTGGGTGCAGAGGGTACTGAAAGTGTAAAAGCAGCATGGAACACTGACGCGGAGGATGGGTGTTGAGAAAAGTGTTGTTTTATTACACTTTGGTCTTTAATGATGTTGGTTCTCATTTTTTTCCTTCCATGGAGATGTTTAATCTGGGAACATATTTAAGCCAATCTAACCCTGACAGGACGGTGAGAAGACTTGGATTTCTGGCCTGTGGGGGCCATATATTGACTGGGCTTCATTCATTGTTTTTGGGCTTGATGCGAGCCTCGCCACTTAAAAATAATTAGACAATAAAGCATTTTTATTTGTACAATTAAAACATCAGAGCCTGAATTTAGCAATTGTTTCCTCATAATTTTGCCTTCCCAAAACTCAAGGTTGGGTTTAGAACTAGAAGAGCCCAGAATCCAAACACATCTTGAACCACTCAGGAAGAGTCCAAAAGTCGTGAGGGACATTGCCTTCAAACTGTTAGCTCAAGCTGCAGTATTTCTGGAACTTTGGCTTATCAATCAGGGAACAGATCAGGTCGCCCATTGAAGTCAAATAGATTAGATTCTAGCCAGTGACAATTTCTTGATCAAGCCCGAAAAGCCGTTCATAGACCCAATCCAACCCCCAAGCTGCAATGGACTAATCTAGCTTCCCGCCCAGGACACTGAATTCGACGAGCTAACCGAGTTGGACGGGGGCAAGAAGAAGAAGACCAACATTCTGATTAAATTCAGGACACGCTGCAATGCTTCTACTCTCTGGAGGGTCATTCAGAAGGTTAAAACCCAAGCCGACTCTCGTCATTGTTTGCCCTGGTCCCTTTCTTCACATTGTCCTAACTTGATCTCCATTTGATATCAACTTGGTTCAAAAGTTAATGATGATACAAACCCTGTGACTACCCCCACAATATAATAGCAAAAACTTTGAGATCATGGTCAAAGTCTTTGGGGCCAAAGCACTGCGCTCCCCTTCACGCACATCGCCAAGGAAAACCTTTTGTCTGCAGCTTTCAAGAGCACTGAGTTGTTCAAGCAGCAAAGCGCAGACCAGATCTCCATGAAGTGTGCATGGACCTATGAGCGGTATTCTGCTCCCTGGTAGCGTCATTCTACACTCTTTGGGAAGTAGCCGCATGCAGTGTACAGTAATTACACACATATATATATATATAAATAATTGCCACACCCCATTAATTCTGAAATTTCCTGGTCCCAGCCAAATGCTGCTGAGTTGTCATGACGCTTTCACTCATTCAAGGCTGCTTACTTGCGGGCTGCTCGGCGAGAAGTAGGCCCTGAGATTCACAGACATGCAGCTTGGCTTACTGGATCAGGGAGGTTGGCCTATGGATGGTATACAACTAATTAGAGTCGACTGCTAAGCGACATATCTTCAGAAAAAACAATGGTTATTAAGTGGTAAAATACGTTGGTTCCGGATGCTTTTATTTCCAACCGCCCAGTGAGGTGGCTTTCGATGGCACTTCAATCGGGAAGGCACCCCTGGAAGGCTATGCTTGGACCTGCCACTGGGCTGAGTCTGAAAAACTAAAGACTATTCATTTAATCAGCATGTCCCAGCATGACCCGACCCTACACCCCTCTTAGTCTTTTCAATTCTCAGCCAGCCTCTCAATTAGAACCCGCTTTTCCACCCAGTAACCAAGCCAACCAGGTCCGGGAGTGAACATCAGTTGCTTCTCACCACCACTGGCAACTGGTCAGCATGGTATGGAGTTCAGTCTTTAGGGGGGCCTTTGGTTGCACATTCACATGGTGATGCCCACACCATGTTGAAGCCTATGCCACAACAGCATTTTTTGGATGCTCAAGTCTCAGACTCACGGCTTACCAGAGTGAAAAGCATATCACACTCATTCTTTGGTGTTTAGGTCTAAATCAAGTCAACATGCTTTCAATTTGAATATTTACATGAGAGTACTCCATGTCCACCCTTGAACAGATCAGATCACTTATTACTTATTTTGTTGTTTTAATGCTATTCTGGCCCATCATCGCCGTAACGGTGGGCCGAGTGTCAATGGCGCTCTGCCTGGATCTCTGGCCTGACGAACGTGTCTCAAACGTAGATTCTTGCTTCCACCGAAGTGATGAAACTTCTTCCTGCCACAGATCATGGTCACTGTCTGTGGAGAAAGAGGAGAGAGGTATTGTTTGAAATTCCTTTTGACATGCCCACCATAAAATGTGATGTCTTAACCAGAAACCAGCGTCAAAAATTTGGGGAAGAAGCGCTAAGTACTAGCATAAATCTAGCCAATGATCAATGGCATTGAATTATTGGCTGTCTTATCTTGCCCCACCCCTGGTCACCGACCCTGCAGGAGGCATCATGGGATCGTCTTGGGCTGGCTTCGGGCTCAATAGCAACGGGTTGGAGCTTAGCGAAGAAAATGATTCCACAAATCGAGGCCCAAACCTTTTTTTTCATTGGCTGGTCAATAAATAAATTAGTTGCCAATGTAAAGTAAACATTTTTTCAAATGTCAAAGATTGAATGATATCATTGAAAAATTGATGTATCAGGTGTATCATATTATCTATTTCCCCAAATTCTGCAGAATAATAAAGATATGGGAACATCCACCATTGGTATATATTGCTAGATTAGGTTCGACCCCGCCCTGCAGGACAGCTGGCTTTTCCACGCTCGGTCGGCCTTTTCAATGTGCACTGGAGCTGGTACTGCTGAAGCCTCCAGAGCAGTTTTGCACAGGGTGGTCCAGGAATACCCAGTGCCGGGAGGTAAGCGGGAAATGAACATCAAAACTGTTGCTTTGTGGGACTCTTGGCGGCCTCAATCAAGAGAAATCCAACCCATATTTAAAATATTTTAAAATCATTTTGTTCTGTGGTGAAGGTAAGTACTACACGATTTTTTGCTTTACTCCCCAAAATCAAGGGTAATGGCCATAAACCCAGGGTGGTCTCAAAGTTTGGTGATTATGCTGAAATCAGTTGTTCAACCTCAGGAATTTGCAACAGCATGCAACCAGTTATTGTTCGACAATCACCGGTGGTGTGTTCATACCATGCAGCGGTACCACCACATGCCACATTTCTTCGGGGACATATTGAAGCTGAACATGCCTGGCTTGTTTCAAGCCTGTGATTCCTATCGTGGGAAGCGAAGGAAGATTAGGCAGTCACTACTTGTGGAGCACCGGGATTGCAAAACCCATTCCCATAGCTCCACAGATACATGCTGCGTGCCAATGGATGTGGATTTTGGCTGTTCAGGTCTCCCTTGTACTGATTTTTCAAGGGCTGGCAAGCAGTTGCGCAAGTATGGCCCCACCAATGTCATATACATGACGCATGGAAAGTATTGTGAAGCTTCCAGTGTCCCAGTGTTCATTATTGAATGCACACCAGCTTCTTGGCAATGAATTGGCAATGCACATCCCAAATCAATTCAAAGAAACTACCAGATTTACCTGGACTACTGTGATTTTTTTTTGGCTACAAACCAGGTTCACTGATGATAAAACTCAAAGCACCGTGTCAATAATTTTACAAGCAGGGCCTATTAATTATACATTACATATTGCTGCCTTTTCAAACCAGGCTTTGGACACTCAGATGGTCGAGGATACCCACCCGTCCTATGACATCTTTCAGCTCTTTTGCAGCCCAAGTGACTCTGGCCATGCAGGGGTTTCAAGAGACCGAACGTACGTGATAGGATCCCATCGTCATCGTACATCGTGCACCTTCGACCCCGATACAATGCATGAGGCAATTTCAACCCACATGAGGAAAAAGGTAATGACTGAACCACATGACTACTTACTTGCTTCATGGGTGGAAGTCCAGCAAGAAGCTCAGATGTTGGCAATCAGGAGGAACATTCCTTTTCAACCGGATGCCAAAGACTTTAAGTACCTTTTGACCAAAAGGGAAAGGGATGCCCTCCGGTCCTATGAAGAAAGCTACGAGATAGAGTATGGGGCCAGTGCCGTCAGTGACCACAATTTAATATGTTTTTTGGGTGACAATGGCACGACATGGAAAACATGGAGTGCCAGGAGCAACCAGATACCAACCCTCAGGAGAAATTCAAAGTCTGGACTTTTTTGGGTCCCAAGTCTAGGCCGTTTTATGGTTGCCAGGGAAAAGCTCTGCGCCTTGGGCTGGCCCATAGACCAAAGCATGTCCAGGAGCATGCTGACAGATCCAGTTCCCACGCAGGATATCCTCAGGGCAGCAGATTTAGCTGGCAATGCCATGCACTTTACAACATGTGCCAATGCACAGCTTCTGGCACTAACCTGCTTCAGACCCTTGGAAAGGATGGGGTGATGACGAGGCTGCTACAATCTTGAAATATATGGCATTGACCCAGGTAAAATTTTCTAAAAAAATGCCATTGGGACCCGACTGTTATTTATCAAGATAGAGATTACAATAATACCACAAGTGAGCCGAAGTAACAGCCTCAAAGAACCGGACCCTTCAGTTAGGCTTTTAGAGCTCGTCAATGTTTCAACCTGATCCATCACTGCTTTGGACCAAAAAAAAAGGTACCTAAGTGAGGACTAGTTTGATCAATGGATCAAGATTTAGTTCACCAATTTTTGCTTTGATGTCTGAAAGAATTCAATGAAGAAAACTATTCCAAAATTGCCAATGATGTTTATTTACATAGGATGAAACCAATTCAAGACACGTGGTTTCTATCTTTGGAGTTTGATGATCCATTAAATGATTGATTCATTGCACTTGACCTTGACTCGTAATCATACCTCCCGCCATACTCATTTGTGATCAAATTCAGGGATTTGTTTGGTTTGCTGTTGCTACCCCACTGACTGCCATGCCGCTCCCTTTCAAATGGGAGGGTGATGATAACATGGACCAGTCATCAGACGACGATGAATCTGATGAAGATGAACATGATGATGACGTTGAGGACAGTTCAGATGATGAACCTGAGCACTCCAAAGCCAAGCCCCGGGGCAAGGGGAAAGCCAAAGCGAAAGCGTCCGCTGGTAGAGGAAAAAACAACGTCAGAAAGACCTCCACAAAGAAGAGCAAGAAGAAAGGCAAAGAGTCAAGGACTTCCAAGAAGGGGGATTCCATGATTTTCCGCTATACGTCATGGAGGGCAGTTCCAGATTCTTGATTCTCCATTATTGATCTGATTGGGGTTTATGTTCTTGTTTCTTCATTTCTGGTTGTGACCAATTGGGTGGCCAAGACTGTGGGTGAACTAACTAATTTCTTTTGCACATTTTACTGGCTTGCCCTGGTTTGATATCGTTTCCACATGTGATTGAGAAATTATTGTTGGCCTTAATATTTCACGGAATTTCACGTTCGTACAATATACTCCAGCCCTCTCAGGAATTTCACATCCGTGAATTCATGGCAGCAGTGGAGCCGAAGAACGCTAGCAACTTGCAGACAGGTAAGTTGTCAGCCACAGAGCTCAGAAGGGCATTCTTTGGGTACTTCCGCCAACCTCCCGGGAAGAAGCCAGAGAAGATTCTTATTTATGAATACACATTTTCACTGTATCTATTTTGTGTGTTTCGTTCTCGAAATTAGTTGTGAGTTAGTTGTGGGGACTTTTAATTTCGTTGACTTTGTTCACTTCGTTCCCAGGAAGTCGAAAGGGGAGATCAAACAGGACCTGATGTACGAATATGAGAACCTGGGTCGCCCTGGAAAAGGGAAATCCGTGCATGATGTTATCCGTGAGGTTGAACAGGAGCAGTCCAAGAATCTGCAGTTCCGGGTTGAGAAGAAGCAGGGTTCCATCATGTGGTTACATTGTGGCAAGGAGTCTAGGGAATTGCCCCAGGAAAAACCACCATGGAAAACTGAAGTTTTTCTTGAGCCCACCACCCAGATTCCCTTCCTGAGCAATGGAAAAAAATCCGTGAGATGCATCTGTTTCTTCCAAGAATCAGAAGGCCCGATCGTCAGTAATCAAGAAACTGGTCCTGATATTCTTACAGTACCTCTACCTGGCAAGAAGCACAAGAAGGGTCCTGGTTCCAGCATGAGCATGGCTTCTGAGAGAGGCACGACCTGTCCCAACACGATGAATGTTTTTTGTTTTTTTAAATCCATCATTTAATTTGTTAATTTCAGTTGAATTAGTTTGGGCCCGAAGTATCTTCCGACCCCATGTTGTAACAATACACAGTCAGTCATCCTTGCCCTGAGGTGGATCTAGCAAGAAAGGTCCTGCCGGTAGTACTGTGACTACTGCTACACCTGGAGATGATCAAGATCTCCAACCGGTTTGTGCTTGCAACTACTTCAGACAGGAGTGTGATGATTGTAACGAGGGATGGATGACTGTATTGAAGTCGGGCAAAGCTTGCAAGATGGGTCCTTTGATAGAAAATTGTTGCATATTTTATTTTTTAGTTTTGACATTGAATATACTGTAAAATTTGAATTTCTGATCTCCAAAAATTGAACCTCCCGACTTGACTTTTGCCTACGTCCCCACGCCCCCCCCCACTTACACACAGATGAAGCAATCCTACTGTCGACTTAGGTGATGGTTCTGGGCCTGAAGTACCACCCGAAACACCATCTCCGGGGACACCATCTAGTGACTCTGAAGAGGAGATTGATCTTGCGAAGGATTGGGTTGGGGCTGGGGCTGAGCCAAATCAAAGTAAAACTTATGTGAGTTTTTTTTTCAGAATTGAAATGCTAATTCATACTAATTTAATTCACTGTCGTCATTGTATAAACTTTGTCAAAATAATTCTGACAAGACATCCAGTGAGACCCAACACTACAGAAAGAGTTAATTGAATTAGTCCATGGAGTTGTCATCATTCATCGCTCATTCCACAGGATGCCATAGATGATCACAATCTTCATGACCTTGATGGAAGCCAGCTTCTACTCCATCATGGTGAAGACAAGATCACATTTGCGGAGCTACCCAAAGATTGTCGGGATTGGAAGTTGGCCAAATATCAAAAGGAGGGGAAGCACTTTGGTCAGCTCTTCCTACACAGCCCATCCCAAGGTGCCAAACCTGTTTGGGTTTTCAAGCTGAAGTTCCTTGACCTTCCAGATGAAAAAGAGACACGTCTCAAGGAAAAGATGAAGCAGGAGAACGCTCAAGGAAAAGTCAGTGAGGAAAAGACAGATGCTCAAAAGATCAAAGATGAAGTCAAAGCCGCCGAAGAGAAGAAAGCCTTGGAAGAAGACAAAGAAAGGAAAGCTTCTGAGGCTGAGGCTGCAGCAAAGGAGAAAGCTTTGAAAGAGGCAAATGACGAGAAACAAAGGAAAGCAGCTGAGGCTGAGGTTGCAGCACAGAAGAAAGCCATGGAAGACGAAGTCCGAGCACAAGTGGAACAGAAGCTGAGAGATGAGATCAGGCAACAGATGGAAGAAGAGGTGAAAGCCAAAATGCAAAAAGAAGTGGATGCGGCAGCAGCAATGAATTCGAAGAAATCTGAAGATGAGAATGAGGAGTTGAAGCAGACGCAGGAAAAACAGAAGGAGGAGCTTGAAAAGAAACGTGAAGAGGAGGAGCTTGAAAAGAAACGTGAAGAGGAGGAGCTTGAAAAGAAGAAACGTGAAGAGGAGGAGCTTGAAAAGAAGAAACGTGAAGAGGAGGAGTTGATGTTGAAGCAGAGTCAGGAAAAGGAGATGCAAGAGATTGAACGGAAGAAACGTGAAGAGGAGGAAGAAAAGAAAAGGCAAGCTGCAATCATCCAGGCCAACAAAGAAAGCGCGCTGAAAAGGAAGGGTGCAGCGAAAGAGGAGCCTGAACCAAGGTCTGCAAAGAAAGTAAAGGTTCCAACGTGAGGACACTTTGGGCAGGGAGTGGGAAAGGTGTGCTCGTTCGTGTGTGGGGTTCAACAATTCACCTCGAAATGGATGAGTAAGGGTTTCCTGCATTTTCATTTCATATTTATGACAAGAATTGCACTAAATTGTAATTATTACATTCACATTTGTTTTGTTTGATTGTCATTTTCCCAGTGGCACTCACTTTCACTAAAAGTTCCTTATTTTTTTTCACAGCACTTCACTAAATGTTTCTAGGCGTTCACCATGTGTTCCATATTCTTGACCAACTTTGATTGAATTTCACTAGATGTTCCTTATTTTTCACCAAAATTCACTAAATGTTCCTTATTTTTCACTAAATTTCACTAGATGTTCCTTATTTTTCACCAAAATTCACTAAATGTTCCTTATTTTTCACTAAATTTCACTAAATGTTCCTTATTTTCACTAAATTTCACTAAATGTTCCTTATTTTTCACTAAATTTCACTAAATGTTCCTTATTTTTCACTAAATTTCACTAAATGTTCCTTATTTTTCACTAAATTTCACTAAATGTTCCTTATTTTTCACTAAATTTCACTAAATGTTCCTTATTTTTCACTAAATTTCACTAAATGTTCCTTATTTTTCACTAAATTTCACTAAATGTTCCTTATTTTTCACTAAATTTCACTAAATGTTCCTTATTTTTCACTAAATTTCACTAAATGTTCCTTATTTTTCACTAAATTTCACTAAATGTTCCTTATGTTTTCACTAAATTTCACTAAATGTTCCTTATTTTTCACTAAATTTCACTAAATGTTCCTTCTTTTTCATTAAATTTCACTAAATGTTCTTTAGTTTCCAGTAAGCTTACCCTTAAACCTTCATTATTCTTCACTGAATTTCAGTTAATAGATATATATATATGGGAAAATCTTAGTGTTTCTTTTTCTTTTTCACTAAATTTCACTAAATTCTATTTTCGTGCTTACCAAAGTCTTACCAGTCTTATCATTTTCTTTGGCGAAAAATACATAACAGCAAATTCTTTAAACCTAAGCTTTTCAATTTTGACTAATTACTTACTTTGAACCATATTTGCATGTTTTTCCTGATATTATTTTTTCTTAGTAATCAACTTTGTGAATTGTGCACAGTCATTGCTTTCATGACAATTCATGACGTATTCATATTTCCTTGTTATTGTTCACCAAAACTAGCACAAAAACATTCCTAATTACTAATTGTGTTCATGAAATTTCCTTTAAAAAAAAGTATTTACTATTCTGCACATTCTGAGCATATTGCCAAAATATGTGTTTGCTAAATTCCCAAATCAATAGAAACATGCTCTATTCAAATGCTTCTCTCATGTTTGCAAGTGCTTCTCTCATGTTTGCTTGAGCTCATGGGTGGCCTTTTCACTTGCAACTACAAGTCGTCTTCGGAGATGAAAATTTCAATCATTCAATACATATGTATTCTTGAAAATGCAGGACACCCAATTCACTTTCTGCTATGTCCCACCACAGGCTGGTACCAAAATGTGTCATCATGAATTATAATCCTTCCTGAGACCCAGGATTCAGAATGATTGAAACAACTTCGTTTGACAGAATCAGAATCTTGCAAGAGATTTGTGACTTAATATGGCATTTGCCAGTTTCTGAATACATGTGCTTATATTATCTGAATCATGTTAATTAACCAACTCGAATAATGTGTTCCATTTTCATGATGATGATTCCAACCTCCAACCGTTCTGAATTCTGAAACTTGAGCCCGCTCACAATCCGTAGCATCAAGATCAAGAGGGTTTTTCTGAAATAAAAATTCCCAGTAGATTGAGTGATATGGCTAATCAGCAGGTGGACAAGACCATCATTGAAGACGACCGGTCTGGCTGGGTTGTAGTCAATATGCAGCCAGGGAACCCAGCTGCATTGCATGATCCAGAACATGCTCGTACTCCAAGTTCTAGGACTTTCTTTTCTCGGGGAAAATTCCCAGATGCTGGGGTCTATCAAAAGATCTACAGTGCTTTGAGGTCTCGTCAAAACCCTTGGGCCAAAAAACGAGTGATTGCCCCAGTGGACTCCCCTCCAGCCACTGGCAGCCAGCCAAGTAATGACAGTTTGGGAGAGACTGACATTACGATGCAGCACTCCCCACCCCAAGACTTCAGCATCCTCGACAGCCCGGTGCCCCGAGATCAGCAGCCAGGTCGCCCCAGTGATGAGCAAGTTGTGGTCACAATCCTTGATTCACCTGAGCATCAGAATCCTTTTGAGACACCCCCCCGAAAGCCCAAATTGGGGATGTCTTCTCCGAATGTTCCAGATGACAGTGGCTTATCATCAGGTGGGAAATCAAATGAGCCATCGTGTGAGTACAGCAGCGCCACAAGCTGTGAATCAAAGCCAAAGGCACAGCAAATCACTCTGGGAATGAGTGGGTATGGTCGCCGCGATTTTGTGCCTTCATCATCTGATGATGCCATGACCCCGGATGAGAAGAAGGTGAATGTGAAAAGAACCATGATTACTTATGATGATGATGAGCCAAATGAGATCTCCGAAAAGGAATCTATTGGGTGTCACCCCCTTTTCAAGAAGCAACGTGCAGAGTCATAGTCTGTTTGCCTCGTTATACCTCAGGGTTCCTCAGGCGACTGCTCACTTTCAGAACAGTTAAAACCAAACAAATAGGTCTTGACCCATGAGAAAAGTTAAGTGGCTAGAAACAGAAATACAGTTCAATTGTTTATTTGCTTTTTCACTTGGATGCCTGCAGGGACTTACCTGAGTTGGACCGTTCCTTAGGACCTGAATAGCTTGCACGGCACACATTGAGCTAGAGCCAGTGCTGAGCCCCGATGTCTGAGAAAACAATCTGGTGAGATGGTGGGAAATAATAAGTTATGGGTCACCGAATGTACCAAAAAATCCAAAGATTAAAGAATGCGTGCTAATTGGTGAGTTAATGTTTGGGAACATTCACCTATCAATTTTGGGATACACCCAGGGACAGGATACCCACAACTAACCCGACGAGGTTCATAATTGATGATTATCCCATCCTTTCTTTGTTGGCCGTGATGAGACTGTTCTGTCTAAGTTAAGTGGTTCCAACACTAACACAAGTGAATATGTTGGGACAAATCACACCTCCAGCCCGACAGCCGCCCCGGTGTCCTGTTCAAACCAAGCTGCCATTGGCCAGCCGGCAGGACTTGAATCAAGTTGGAAAGGAAAGAATCATTTCCTGAGAGATCAAAAGCCAGGATGTGCTGGGATCATTTGTGAGCGTGGTTTGACAAATCTACACTGCAGAAATCTAAAGAAGAATCGTCAGGGTCCAAAAATGAAAATATATCCACCTACCAGAGTCTGTTGTAGTTGATAAGAATGAGCAATGTTTCATGATTTTTTAGAGTGTTGACCCTTTCGTGTACAGTAAATAGGATTGAATTCGTGTTGACCACGCTCACATTTGACTTTATTACAAGACTGGAATGGTTCTGCAACGTCTGCAGGTAAAGGTGTACCATTCATCCATGATTCCATAGCTCAGCCCGCAGAGATTGAAGGATTGCACGTCGCTACGCCTTCTGGAGTTCCCCACTAAGTCAGATCAACATACAAGAGTAGTGATACAGGACCAATTTGCTTTGTTTCGTCTGTACTAACTTAGCTTCTCAGTTAATTTGTTTCAAGTTTCTGACAGTGGGCGGTTCTCAATTCTCATTTTGCTGGGACTCCACATGTCACCACGTGTGGCTTGAGACACAGACTTCAAAAGATGCGACTTACCTCTGCTTCTGTGGATGAGTAGAATGGGCACACACACACATGTCACATGTCACATGTCACACTTTCTTACTTTAGTTAGTTGGGAAATTCAATTCTCCCTCTCAGAATTAACAACTCTATCCATATTATGGACACGTTCCCCACATTCCCTTCTTCCTGCAGTCATTCCCATGTGCACTCTGAGGCACTCCCACAATGGGCGTGTGAAGCCGAATATCTTACAAAGCAGTTCCTCAGATTGATTAGAGAAGCATCGGCATTTGGTCTGTCCAAAAAAACACTAACGGGTTGTCACAGTCACCGCCAAGCTTCTTTGATGTGATCTCATTGAAAGTCAATTGAGATTTGGATATGTTATGATGATTAGCAGCAAAAAACTTGTCAATATTATATTTGAGATACAATTGAGAACAAAATCAAAAAGTGAATCGTGTTGCTGGGCTTGCTGTCCACATTTCCCAAGTCTCCAATAAGGAATGTTGGAGCTGGAGATATGGACATAGCGTCCGAGCTGTCCCAAGCCAACAAGAAGACCATCTTTGGCATGATTGAACCTCGGCTAGATGACGGATGGAGGAAGCACAGGGCCAGCTCAAGTGCTGACAAATACCCCACATTATTTGGTCATAAATGGATATGATATGGGATTATTTTATGTCATCAATAATAGGACAGGAAGTATGAATAATAATGATATTAGTAAAGACACCAGTTCAGGTCTCATTCCATTGGTTATCATCATCTTAGGCAGTGGTGAAAGGGCTGCAAAGGAGCATGGTCTCTGTCTTTGGGAATGGCCTTGAGACTTTTGTCCCAAAGGTCAAATTGAAACCTGGCAGTGAGATGAAAACTGCTGATCTAGTGCCAGAGACAGTTGAGGAACGACCTCTTTTGACAGCTGAACCCTGGTTGAGTTTTATTTGACCTATTGTTTTCACACTTGACATGTTCACTCGTCAATGGAATTGTGTGAGGTTAGTTCGGTTAGTATGGAAAACCATGGAAAACCTTTCTTTTAAATTGTTTTGCAGCGAACTGAGTCACCAGACGAAGAAGCGCTTCCGTTCAAATCTTTGTGGGCGCTTATGTTCAATTCTCGGCTTCGAATATACATAGAACCAGACAGCCTCCACTGCCTGTGGAATGATGTCAAAAACGCGTACAAGCGATCTGAGTGTCAGCCGGCACTCTTGCTTGGCATACTTCTGTGTCAGACAGGACATGGACCGTTTTTGAGTGCAGGCAATCAGTGGACCAAACAGGAAGTAGCTGAGCTTCTAGGTGAAACTATGACTGAGAGTGATTTCCAAGACCTTCGGGAGGCAATGCTTCAAGACCGCTATAATGACCCAAGGGGCTTACCAGATTCACCCAGTGACATTGCGCAACTCCCTGCTGTTCAGAATTTGCCTATTTACGACATTTGGCTGCACAAATACCAAAGCCTCCTAGAGTTTCCACCGCTGATTTGTGAAGTACTTACTTGGAACCTTTGAAACTTCCACCACCGCCTTGTGAGGTACTACTTGGAACCTGGAACCTTTTTGAAACTTCCACTCCACCACCGCCTTGTGAGGTACTACTTGGAACCTGGAACCTTTTTGAAACTTCCACTCCACCACCGCCTTGTGAGGTACTACTTGGAACCTGGAACCTTTTTGAAACTTCCACAACACCCTTGTGAGGTACTACTTGGAACTTGGAACCTTTGAAACTTCCTTCACCGCCTTGTGAGGTACTATTTGGAACCTTTGAAACTTCCACCACCGCCTTGTGAGGTACGTACTACAATTGGGTTTGTTTGTTTGTTGATGTTGACTGATGGAAAGACCAAACACTGGACTGCCCAATGTGTTTACAAAAACACCACCATTCGTAATCAGTCAGTTTTGTTTCTGATGAGTGATCTATGTAGATTTCAAGGATGCCTGCACACAAATAGATGTTCATTAGACAAAAACAAACGCAAACTTTCACCCCAGTATCCTGAGTCCAGGCGAAGTACAAGAGCTGGTTCCAAGCGGTGGTTGCCCTCTATCAATTGGCTATGGACTGGAGCCTGGACACGTTGCTTTTGGGTTACGCCGCAGAGCTGACGCGGGGTCAGGGTAGAGTTGCTGCAATGCAAGTTGCACCTAGTTTGAAAGTTTATGGGATGCGGGGTTGTTATTTTTTAAAACCACTGAGAAGTCAAACCTTTGCCATTGGATACAACCAGCTTCCCACCCGTGCCAATAATAAATAAAGTACACGTTGCTGCTTGAGGATGCAGATGATGACGACGACGATGATGACCACGCAGCTGCTACCCATGAGCGTCCTCGGACCCGCAAGGAGTTGGATCAGGTGAAGGGAAAATTTGCGAATAAAATTTTACTGGCTTCACATTATCACCAGGACCCACTACTACCCCTGGAGTTCAAAGCTATGTTCTGGGCTGCTCATTCCGTCTTAAAGGAATATGAAGAGACTGGAGGCCCACAGGAACGGGCAGGACATGATGGGGGATGTTCACACTGATTGGAACTTGGGAACTTTTTTATCGGGCCCCTTAATGAATGCGCCCACATAATTTTAACAGTGACGATGTACCGCAGGGAATTATTAGTTGAAGAAATTAAATTTTGGTGATGTCTTTTCAATAGTCGTAGAGGCCCGTTGACTGGGTATTTTCATGTTTTTTTTGTCAAATGGTTTACAGTCCGTGCCATATGATCCCCACAATCCTTGAAGGAAACAACCTTGAGATGGAGAGCTTCCCGGGCAAGAGGGCACACTTGGTTGCCAACGGTTTTCAAGACCCTGAGATCCATTCATGACCCGGATATTACCAAGAAGCTTCACATCTCTGTGTCACAGGGGGGAGAAAACGTTGATATCAGTGATATCCCCGAGCATGAATCTGAGATTATGAACAAATTCACCAATTTGTGCATTGAAATCAGTGCAGCACGTTGTTGGTCCCAATGTCAGTACATCCTATGCTTGCCGAACCAGTTTGCCAGTGTCCATCATGCTGATGTAAGTGAACGACAACGGGGGATGATGATGACGAAAACTATTTGGACGGCTATGCTTAATGCAGAACGGGTCTTGGCAGACCCAACAACGGATGCTGGTCTGCGGCGTTCTTTGGAGGAAATCATGAAAGATTCTGCATGGCAGAAATCCCAAATAGCACGGGAACTGTATTTGGTTTGTGAGGCTGGGGGGTGGAACCATGAGGATCAACAAACAAGACAGCTTGGGTTCTATCTCTTCGGAACTCCTGGAAACACCAAACATTTCTTGGAAGACACATTCTCCCATCTCGCTGACGTCGCAAAGAGAGCCATCCGGAACTTCAAACTGACAAAGAATCTCAATTGCAAAACATTTTTTTCAGGTTGCTTTGGCCATTCGGTTTGTCTATTCTGTGAGCGGATGTGAAAAACTTCACCCTAAGGGTGGATGCATGGCAGTTAGAAGCCTTGACTCCGTACTTCCTTGATTATCGCCCCTCAAGTTTGTCAACCTGCATCTGAGCAATCTCTTTCTAAGGTGGGCGAAGTACTTTTACATGACCTGTGTGCCAACGCACAACGAACTGAAATGGCCCAGATTGGAACCCACCGCTGGGGATTTTACTACTTCAATGGCACTTGCTGGCCGAGATCTTGTGAGGGGGGAAGATGCCCGACCGGGGAAGGTTTTCAAAGTTCCCAAAAGCCTGACCCTTCCAAAGAGCTTGGACTTTACAGTCAAGCAACTTCGCCAGGTGGAGCGCAGTGCTGGAACGTTGGCAAACCAGAGATCGGCAGCAGCTACAGCGTGGATCCTGTCGAACTCAACGTCTGGGTTTCAGCATGCACCCATGGCATGGACAGGTCTGGTTGAATTTGGGCTTGTGTTTGGGTAATCCCTGATTTTGCCACTAAAGGTTTAAGCGACGCCAACACAATTAAGGGATAACATCGACTGTGGTTCCAGGGCAGGAAGATTCTAAGATAATGATGTTCTCACCCTCTATATTATATCCAGAAAATACCGTATCCAAATTATAATTAATGACTTGAACCCAGATCAAACCCCTGAGAGGTTGCTTTCTACTCAAACGTCGTGTCTACTTGAACAGCTCGGGCAAAGCGTTTCTCTGCCTTGGTTTTCAAACATATGCCGCTGTGGGTATTCCTTTGGAAAAGCAGGAGGTTGATGGGAAGGACCGGTTGTTAAAAACTATGGTTGTAAGTAAAAACTATGGAATTTGCTGGATGATGGTTTCTCCATTACTAAATTCATTCTTCCGTGGAGGACCCCAACTTGGTGCCCTACAAACAAGCGTCCAAAACATTTATCGGTCAGCAGCCTCAGGAGTACCTTTTGGTGATCCCTGAGAAGGTATCATCGGGCAACATCACATGGATGATGAGCAATGATGTTTCTTTGAACGCAACCGGAAAGTGGGACTTTCTACCTGTGACCCTTCGTACCACGATTGAGTTACCAAAAGCCCTGAGGCATTTTGCTTCAGCTTGGGAAGTGACTGGGCCCCCACAGTCAGCACTTCGATCTGCAGTTCGTGTGGGGGTGTTGCTCACTATTCAAAACCTGACTAACATCCAAAAACAACTGAAGCATCCACCCCCACTGAAAGGAAAAGGCAGTGGCAAAGGGGGAAACGTTGTGAAATATGATCATGCCAAAGCGTTGGTCACATTTTTGTGGCCAGACGAGACCCTTGAGAGCCAGGAGCAAATGATTGACAGTATTTGTGGACGACACCTCCCAAAAGTCAAGTGCCCGTCCGACATCCTGTCGGCAATTCGGGAGCTGGGGGCGGAGGGGGAGAGAGATTTTGCAGACCTTCTCTCTGTGGCACAAAATCAGGAGGCCATTGAGAAAGAGAGGAAATTGAGATCTCCCACAGAGGACCGTGAACAGAGACAAACGTTCACCCCAGCGGTCCTCAAAGCCCTCCTGCCAGCAAATGTTCCTGGCGTTATTTGCAACCGAAACCCTATCCTTTCTCGATATCAAGGGTTCTATCCTGGAACCACGGTTGAATGATTTATATTCTAAATTATTCTAATATGGTTAGCCTTTTGTTCTAACTATCCATTTTACTTATGGGAAGCAGGTAGTGCCTGTACTGCACAGAGGAATCCACCAAAATGTTTAATCATCAAATCAATGGAAATGTTTTTGTGGCCCCTGGAAAATAAACAGTTCAATCAGAAAATATGATGCCCTTAAATGTCAGTAACAAATGAACCCCTTGGCTTACAACTGATTTTTTTGTTGATTTCCCAGGAAAGGTTGAGGGCTTCTTGGACTCCCGCGCATCTACGTGGGGAGGCGCTCTCAAGAACCGCAGTGAATTCCAGGCTCTGAAAGAATGCGTTGTGAATTTCATTTGGGCTAAGCACCAGAAGTTGAATCCCACCGATGCAGCTCCAGTGTCACCCGATCTCAATTTGGTTGTATGGTTTTGAGGACTGGAGTTGGACTGTTTGTTTTTAATGCTCTGATTGATAACGCATTGACTCAGATTTTTATTAGAACCGTCTATTGACTCAAAAACATCCGAACGTAACATATGAATACATATCTTAGAAGTGATAAATGGTTGATTTGTGCGGCTCATAACTTTAAACCTCAAGTGTGACCCTTTTCCATTCATCTGAGGCCCAGTGATCAACAGCTGAGGGATGTGATTTCTTCGTTTACTGCCAAGACTGGTTTCATCCACCCTGAAAGTGCTGCGGCCTCTTCATCGTCTGCTGCCGCGGCCAAGGGCCATGGCAAAGCCAAGCCAAAGGGTGGACGAGCTAAGGGCTCTGGTGCGGGCAAGAAAAAATAGTGACTACATGTCCTTGTTTCTACATTAATCACCTGAATTGAGTAATGATTGTGAAAGCATTGACTCTGAAAAAAAAAAATTGAGGTGTGTTTGCTCACCCGTTGATTCTCACCCGTCATGTTTCACCCATCAGGATCAAAAATTTAGGTCTTGAAAAACACGTGGAAACAATTTGAGTGGGGCTGTGGTTGGTTTCAACGTGGGTGAACTGTTTTGTTTGTTAACTTCTGTATGTTTTTTCCTTTCTGACTTGGTCCATTGAAGACGAAGGCACCCTAGATGAAGATTTACGAGTAATCCTTCTAGATCTGATCTACCGATGAGTGAATTCAAACCCTTAACATGAAAATCCCCAAAACTCCCCTAAGCCACTAAATGTCACTAAATGTCTCTTAAATGTCACTAAATGGCACTAAATGTCACTAAATGTCTCTTAAACGTCAAGACCTTAAAATGTCACTAAATGTCTCTTAAAAGCCACTAAATGACCCTGGGCTCGTTTTGGGTGGGCTCTTATCTCTGTCATGAGCATTGTGGAATATAAATCTAGGGATGCGAGTTGAAACATCGTGAGACAGCATTCTTCCTAGAATTTATACATTGTTCTCGTGGATGCGATCAAACTGTTTTTAAACGCAATCGAACACAATTCGATAGTCTCGTGGTCATCGTACTGTTTGGCAATATTGCAGACTTGGGCGCCGTATGGAATCATTGGTATGCTGCGTTCGTATGACCTAAAAATATTCTAAAGATAACTAAAGATGGGAACTGCCTGAATGAAGTTCTGACAGGCGAATCAAACTAGGCAACTTTTTTTTGCCTTATGGCCTAAACCATTTGGATTCAGCCTCTGTGATTCAGCCTGTAGCTCTTTGACAGCTGAGCCTGTTTCACACCCCCAAAAGGGTGTGAACCGAGGACTACTGCCTTCATTGCAGTGGTGATCAACCAGGTGCATTGCTTTGTGATGGCACATGTCCAACATTTCCTTCGGCTCCCGCAGTTCCACTATGTTTCACTGGATCTTGTAGCAAGTATCAGTATCACAGTTGTTCATAGTTATTCACAGTTTACATCTGCCGGCCTTGCCGAAATATATGACCTGAAGCAGATGGGAGCGTTGGGTGATCCCAAGCATGTGCCCATTAATTACCGCCATTTCTGTGGTGAAATTTTGTCGATTTTGCGATTTCGGATCTTCGAGTACAACGCACACACAGACAATATACGTGTATGAAACCAGAACAAATCTGAACTATATAACAATTAAGAACTCATTTCGAAATAAATTCACAGGCCAACACACACAATATCACACAATGGACTCCATGGACCCAGATATACCCAGATCCAACTTGCTGCATCCGTGCGCCGAGGTCAGCATCGGCATCCTCTTTCGCTTGATGGATTTGTTCCGGCCAGGGGGCTCAGCCAAAATCGGGCCGCTGCGTCATGGTGATGTGGCTTGCAACATATCGGGATGTGCCCAAAGCATCCCAAACCTATAGAATAATGAACATATTTTGGGAGATGAACATCCATTTGCCACCTATTTGAGGGCGAACAGCGGCGTACCAGGGTTTTGACTCATACCCTTATTGATCCCATTATGTGGAGAGGTCAACACCTTTGATCTTTCATTGGAAAGATGAAGAGATGTCGAGCCATTTAAGCCGGCCTTGTTGTTGTTTGAGAGGGTCGGGTAGGTCTTCATCGATTCCAGTGTTGCAAGCCTGGTGCGAAGAACCGCAGGAGCTCTAGTTTGAAACACCTCAGAACCAAAATTTCAGATATTTTTTGTGATGATTTGAGATATTTTGAGTTCGTTTTGCACATGTTCCCGCATTTTCCCACCGTCTCCATATCCATTTCTATCTGATGCTATCCCTTTCGACCTGAGTTTCTCATGAGCGTTTCGACCTAAGGATGTACACCGTCACCAACGAAACGGATGAACGAGTCGTCCTTTGGCAAAATGCCCGCGGTTTTAGATGATTTTGCCGGACTATCATCTGGCAGCCTATAAAGGAAGTCAATGTCAATGTCCAGGGATGTCAAAGGATTCAAAGGGTGACGCAAGGATTCAAGATAGAATTCAGATGAATGCAGGACATGTCTATACAGTAGAGAAATGCACAGGCACATCATAATCATAAATTGATCTAGATTGTAGTCAATTGTAGTCTGTATATTGGATGTCCTCATCATGTCACAATCATCGTTATATCTATAGCACATTATAGTACTATACGGACCTTCATTCACTGAGGTCATGCTGAATGAGGAGATCAAAGAGGCTTTTTCATGGGGCGCATGGCACCCTCAGGTAGTTAAGGGATGTTAAGGGACCCTTTCAGCATCCAGTAAACCCATCCTAGCTGAGATGATGGTCGTGATGGTCGATATTTATAGTTTTGGGATGGGTCCAAACTTTAAACATGTCCAAACTGCTAAACTACCAGCCAAGGTCAGCTGATGATGGAAGTCTGCACTGCGTGTAATGATGAAACATACGTATGCATATTTCACAGGTATTGTAGGACTGTAGCAATCTGTAGCCTTTTTGCCGGCCAGATTTTCCAGAAACCAACAGCGGCCAGGCGGAAAATGATATCGTAAGCTTGGCCAGCTCCTTCTTGATGGTTCAGGTCTTCCGCTTTGGCTTCACAGGTGGAAAGCCGTGGATCCGTTCTAAGGCTTTCTAAGGGACAGATGGTGACAGTATCCAAAAAGTGGACAGGTCCATTGGGTCCAGCAAGCACTAAACTTTAGATTAAATGATTATATAATATTATATAAATGTTTAATTCATTTTTTATTCCATTGTGCTGATGTCTTTATGGCGCGAGACAAGTTTGTTCGACTTCAGTGACAGCACGCAGACCAATTGCAGCTGGAATTGAGCTTGAAAGTGAAGTCCACACTCCCCAATACTCCCCAGCTCCATCAAGAAAAGAGCTCGAGAGATTGAATCTTGGAATCATTGGGGCCTTTTGTCTTGCGGTTATTCATTACCATCAACCCATATCAACCCCATTGCTGATTGTCCACCCTGCCAGGCCACATGCCCAACGTGGAAGCTTGGCAGCACGGCAGTCATGATGCTGATGGCTTTCTATCTGGGCTTAGCATATATTAATAATAGGGTTCATAGGACATGTGTATGCAACTACTACGGTCAGCATGGGTTGGTGATGGTTGGTGAGATGCCATAGATCTATAGTCTATAGAGTCTATAGTACTCGTAGCCACTACACATAACTGCAACCTACCGAAGTATACCAAAGTCTCATGGTTCAGTGGGATTGGCCAAGATGTGACTGATAGCCCACGGTAGCTGAACATGGCCATTGTTCTCCCAGGAGGGCCATGAGGAGCCGTACGTTCCCATGGGCATCACTGCGATGAGCTTGCAACATGGCTGGATTACGGGATGACTTCGATCAGACTTCGATAGCTTCGATAGATTTGGTAAGCTTGGTAGGCAGTGTATGATAGTGTATGGAGGGTTGCAACAGCATAGCTGGCATAGCTACATGTAGCAATATGTCGCTGGTAAACTTGTCCGTGGTCCTTCCACCAGGATGTCTCATGCATATTTATGAAGACTGAAGACTTGTTTTGCAAATTGCTTCGGCGTGTTGAAAGTATTGGGGCAGTGGTCAGAGCGTTGTTCACTTGCCTCAAGCCTCGAGCCACCTGTGATAGTTCTGGCATGTTCTGTCCATGTTGCTGAGGCTATTTGTGGTGGGGTGCGTTGGCCTGCTTTCCTCGGTGTTGTGCCTTGTCGTTAAAGTCCACATCGTGGCCCAACTTATTTTTGCTATGAAGAACATTGAAGAACAGGGTTGAAGGTTATGACGGCAAGCCACAGGAAATGAGTTCGGCCTGGTGTGCAACATGAGCCAAACCCGAAAACTGCTATCCGCAATTGAGAAAGGACATGCAAGGGATTCTTTGAGCATGTCGGAACTCCAGGAATCTTGCACTTTCATTCTGCCAGTGCCAATCAAGTGCCTGGACCGCTGGCCTAAGGATCAGTTGCTTGCCAGAAGTGTCATCCCGTGCGCAATGGCTGTGACCTGGACTGAAAAGAAGGTATACCGGCCCTATGGATCCAATGACTGCCTTGGAAGGTAGCGGAACCGTATGGAACCCCTAAATTATACGCGAAACACTTCCTAAGAAGGTACTTGGATCCATATGGAGGGATACAGGAGTTACATGGAGTTACGTCTAAGCAGTGGCCAATTTACCACAGGATTGATAGTTCGCAGTGAGGGTCAGTCCCACGTACCGTGGATGATGAAACTCCCCCCGAAATGTGTGCCCATGGCCTGCCTATCTTTAGAGACCAGCTCTCAAGCATTGTTGCAAGAGTATTGCAAATACAATTCAACAACATGCATTTCCATGCATTTCCAGTATATTCCTATAATTCTATCTAATTATTAAGGTTTGAAGTATACAACATTTTTTTTTTGGCGTATTCTGTTGGGTTGGGCATTTTAGCAACCACTAGTCCAAGCAGTCCAAGCCAAGGCTGGAGAAGTTCCAGAACATTCTGGGTATGATTTTTGCGTGGTCCACACTCTGGAGTGTATCAATGTTCGTGCGCGAGACAGAGACCTTTACCAAGATCTTGCGTACCTTGGCAGATCTTGGCAGTAAGGCTTGGGGCATACGTAAAAAACAAGTTTTTTCAACATTTGCAACATTCATATAGTTCATAGTTCCACAGTAACTGGCACACGCTCAGCAAACTAGGTAGACAGAGACAAGGCAAAAACAAGAAGGCAAAAGGCAAGAGCATTCATCAAGAACCTTGTGCATCGTTCTGATAGGACTAATTAATCTGAAATTGCAGTTTCATACGCTGTACATGTTGATAATCTTACATCTCAGATTTCAAAACTCTTCAGTTGCTGCATTTCATCAACATGCTGCCTGTGAGTTTAGTAGCTGACTCCGCAGCCGCTAGCCATCATGCCGGCAGAAACTGTTGCCACATCAGCATGTCACATCCATCCATGCGTGTGTATTTATATAATATATATATATATTAAAATATAGTCAAACGCGTAAACCACGAACACACACACACACAGACACACGCGCACAATCACAAACATACATATATTACAAGACGCAAACATGAGTTGATGATAGCAGCGGGTCCATTACTGACGCAGGTGTTTTAGGAGCTCGACTCTACACTCTACACTTCATGCTCCATTTGCTTCTAAAAACCTATCATGGAAATGGTTGGAAACAACAACAACATGCAACAGCTAGAAAGGCCAGAAATTCAAGACCCTTGACCAACTTGGTGCATGCCGAAGGAGTGGGACCAGGATACTCATGGCGATCTCCGGCCATGGCTTTTTTCCAGCGGTGTCAGCTTCCAACACTCTCCGGCAACTGGAGACTAGTCAGACTAGGGCGACCAATGTTGGCGGCCCACGAGGCCACAGTGCTGCAACCAAGCCATCCGGGACATCAAGGACATCCGGCGGCGCGGTTGCAGCCATTTTTGCCGCAGGCCTTTGGCAAGTTGGGAGAAAGCACAAGAGAAAACATCTGAGAGCGAAAGTGAAAATGCATGCCTACTATGAGGTCACACCCAGGGAAGGCTGTGCTTTTGGCGCATCTGTGCGTGGCTTCAGTGTCAAGGAAGCCTTAGACAGTCCTGAAGCCATGGAGCAAATTCGCTCAGATATGTACAAGCATCGCCTTTTGATTTTTCACGGTCAGACGGACTTGATGCCAGAGGATCACATCAAACTCAGTGAAAAGCTTGGATCTCTGGACCACATCTTGCATCGGCCTCATCCGAAGTCACCAGACCCGCGGCTACTTCGTGTGGCCAACGATGACCGGGAAGGCTTTATGTCGGTTGGCACCAGCGGCTGGCATGTTGATGGGGTCATGCTTCAGGCACCATTTGCTGCTCAGACGATGCACCACTTGCATGCGATCCCAGGTGAGGTTGGTTAGAAATCAAGACTGCCAAAATTTGGTGCAAAAGGAGCGATCCCCACAACGTGTAAAGGGACATAAGGGACCCTATACATGCACCTGGTGTAATTACTTCCGTTATCTTCTGTTGAAGTGATCCCTGATTGTGACTGTTTGCTTTCAATGGTCCTCAGGTGGTGATACACGCTTCCTGGGCATGAAGGAGCTGTACAACTCGATGGACGAGGACTTTCGCGCCCTTTGTGACAGGCTTTGGTTCGTGTCTGGTGTGGGTGAGGACCTTCAACAGGGTGAAGGCCAGATGTCACTGCTTCCCTTGGTCTATGATCACCCTTTAAGTGATGACAAGACCATGTGCTTTCACTTGGGCCAAACCTACTGCTTGGGATTTATTGAAGAAGTTCCTTTGAACGCCTTCATGGAAGCCTTTGCGAATGTGATGACCCGTGGTGATGGTCTACTTAAGAGCGCCCGTGCACAGTTGCAGAAGCTCTTGGTGGACCCTTCAGGTAATGCTCCTTCACAATTTCGGTTTTTGCCGGCATTGCCAGTGCAGGAGTCCATTGAAAAAGCCATTGACAGCATGGATCCTGAGACTCGGAGCCAGGCAATTACCACGGTGGAATGGCAAAGGGGCGACTTAGCATTGATTGACAACATGGCCCTGGCTCACGTCCCAGCCCCAGGCACGCAGACCTTGCCGTTGGTCAGTGGCTTGCGGGTGTTTCACCGCACCACCATGACGAACCCCAAGGCCGTGCCGCGGAACTTGCGAGGCGCTGCAGCGGTGCTGCTGGCCGGTCCAAGGAGGGATGGGCCAACCTCCAAGGAGGCCACACAGGATCCAGCAGCCATGCGGGACATTTTGCGTGCTGTCATGGCTGCTACACCTATCAATGTGGATGAACTTGGGGGTGATCAAAGAGGAGGTGACCTTCAACTTCCAAAGAATATCTCAGCCAGAGAGGAGGCGCTCAGAACCTTGGAAGAGGCACAGCAACCCTTGGACCTTCTGAAGGTTGTTGATGCAGAGTTGGAGGCAGCTGATTCGGCAGACAGCAAAGATGTATTTTCCAAGACCTTGAAGAGGCTGATGCGAGAGTATCATCCGGATCGTAATCAGACACGAGAGAAAGAAATCGTCCCAATCTTCAGGTATCTGTGGCGCTTGCACAAGGAACAAGGCCGTGCTGCAAGCGCCATGTCAGCTACAAAGGATCGTGTCGTTGATCGTCTTCGGAAGAAGGCCTCGAAGATTTCCGTTGGAGTTGGTGGAGGGGTGGCAGGCTGAGTCGGAGTTTGACTCCTTCTGCGTAGACCTCTGAGAGGAGACAGTTTTCCAGGTACACCTGTGAGTTTGCCTGCGCACCCGAAAAAGGAGGCACGAAATCCATTGTTCATTGCGGGGTCGGGTTGTCTCGAAACCACCAATCCCGTGATTCATCATTTCTCCAATTTTTAAGGGCCATAATAAGATGAGCATCCCTGATTTTGAGACAAACGTGAATGATTGCCTTTGAACAGCACGAGCTTGGCTGTATCAAGACTATGTAGATTACGTAGTGGCTATGCACGAATTCCTGCTGCTGAGATACAAGCCTTTACCCCAATGAGCGGCACTTGGTCGCTGCTTTGTTCCTGTCAATGTGTGTCCTGGCTGCATGCTGGTTTCACCTCTGGGGGCCTCAGGGGTCAAATGTACAATCACTGAGCCATGATGTGTTGAACGGATTTGAACGGTGGGAGGCAGCTTAGCGGTGATCCGGGTGCTGGACATCATTCAAGACATGGGAGCTTCGTACCTCGGCACTGTGAGCACTAGCAGAATAGAACCAGCATTGGGCAAGTTGGGACAGCGGGGCCAAGTTCTTCTTGAGGCCGGCAGTTCTCATTGTAAGACCTGACTCTGGACATTAAGTTGGCTTGCTACTTTCAAGATTTTCAAGCTATTCACTCAGAGATCCCTTTGGTCTTTGAGCCCTACGGGTTCGCGAATGGTTGACGGATTGTTTGGACTGTCTCAAAGTGTTTGCGTGGATGGCTTCGTGACTTCTGTGCTGCAAAGGTCCCCGAGAATCTTGCAAAGTATGATCAACGTATTCTCGGTCTTGATAGGACTTGGCCTAATGGGCAGAATGTTCGGGATTCACCAGGAAGTCGACTGACTCAGCTACATCAATTCACAACCTGCTACACAATATGAAACAACATGAAACAACTATTATTAATTAGCAAATAAGTACTCAGAACATCTCAGAACTCCTAAGACAAGAAAGGTGTTGGTCACTGTGTGAGTTGAGGGACGACTCATGGGAAACCATGGTTGCACCGTTGCACCATTGAAATACAATTTCCATTGCACAGGACTGTCCTGGGAGATTTGCTTTGAAGGTGGTTTGACCGAGCTGGCCGAGGAGCAATTTGCAATGCAGCAAGGGTTTGCGCAACATTGCTCTGGACAACCTTGAGCAATCTTTGAGCATTTTTGGCCGATAGGAAACACATTTTCAGGGGTCAAAATTTTCCCCTTTCATCATCAATTCAGGCACGGGACCCTTCTAAATCTGCAACTTTTTTCGTGCAACATCCTGCAAGAATCCAATGCAGGAGACATCCAATCCCAACCGCATGAAACTGATGTTCACCGTGGGCGATAGCCTCAGAGCGTCCACCTTGGTGCCGTTTTGGAACACAGGATGACTACAGGATGGTCAGGAGATGTTGGCCCGTTTACCCAGGTGCCGTGGCAATTGTAGTGCCGGCTTGGAGGATGACCCTCGGCTATACTGGCTATATATGAGCAAGGGTCAAAAGACGCTATGAAAGGCTTCAATTACGATCCGCCATCACTACTCAAAATATGTGATTTACTGTGTGTAGCGATAGGGGGCCTTATGTAGCGATACCTCTTTTTAGACTTTGTTTATGATTGAAGCTTCCTGTTGGGCGCATGACTTTCCAATCTTTTGATGTCAGAGTGCGACACTGGAGCAGTCGCAGTGGGCTGGTCTTCCTGGGTAGTTGCAAGATGGCCTGTCGTCAAGTATATATGAGATAGTTACATTAAACAATATTGATATATTGGGGTATGTTGATCTATAAGGTATGCAAGAAACTAATTCATAACGCATCATGAGCTTGATGATGGTGATGATGCTGATGATGATGGTGATGGTGATGATGTTGATTCAGATAGTGACCGTGCTGAGATATGTTGAAAAAGCATCCTTGTGCGGTCACGGACGCTTCTCCAAAGCCACTGTCCAGGAGTAGAATTGCAACATGGAGCTTGTCAGAATTTCGTGTCACTTGAAACATACACCTGAGATCACACATTTTCTGGTCCCCGTAGCGATGCCCGAAGCGATACCCTTCGATACCCAGAGCGATACCTGAAATCCATGAAATTAGGGAGTGCCCCACATGGTCACTTGAAACTTGAAACTATACAACTTGTGCTATAGGTGGAAAAATATGGGAAGTATGAACAAGGGTACCCTCAAGTTCTTACTGGGTTAGTTCTTAAAGGGTTCATTTGGTCAGGGTTTTGCCGATTCATTTTGGCGTGGTATTAGCTTGCAAAGGAGGCGGGGTGAAGAAAAAAAGGCGCCGGAAACAAGGCAGCACAGGCAAGACAAGCCAAGCCAACACAAGCCAAGGGCAGCCCCCGAGGTCAGATGACCTGCAGTGAGTCCGGCTGGTGTCTAGCTGAAGCTGTCGACGTCAGCCTTGGTGATCAAGTAAAAGTTTGAATTTCCCTGGAGATACCATCGCAAGGGGAATAAGAATCCGATTCCTCATCTGGATCCTCCTCTTCTAGCAGCAATTCTGCCTAGTTGGTGAAAAGGGTGCTGGGACTGTGTGTAGCGATAGGGGGCCTTATGAAGCGATGCCATGACCTCACCACATGAATTGAGTTTTGACCGTCGCACATATGGAGTTTATATGGGAGACGGGAGACTCTGTGAAATCGCAGCATTTCAAAGTAGTTTCTCCATTTGCACGGCCCGCGCGACTTACACCAGAGAGATCCAGTGTGCGAACTTGACACCGTTCGCCATTTGACACGCATGCATACGCATGCAAGATCATGCAAAGTAGCCTGCTTGCTATAGAATTAGAAGACCCCTCGCTGTCATCAAAGGTATGTGGTGAAGCGCGTTGTGGACTTGAAGAACAAAGCCAAGGAGCGGATGGAAGCCAAGAGGAAGGCTGCCTGGTGGCCCTGGCGGCTTCAGAATTGCTGCAGTTTTGGCATGTCTGTGGGGGAGTCTTGGGCTGAAGACATTTTAGACAATATGTCAGGGATCTTGAGGGTTTTTGAAGAACAAGTTACAGTACGTATATTACAGTATTATACAGTATTCAGGTATATTCAGGTTCTGGGGGTAAGGATGTTTGTGTGGGTTGCCCTCGGTTGCCCTCGATTGCAGATCGCAAGCGGTGAAACCCCTGAAGCCATGCAGATGCTTTGGCTAGCACCAAAAACGGAAGAGGTGCAAATGGGAAATTTGGGGCCCTGTCTCAGAGTCTCGGGTACAGGGCATACAGATCAGACCAGTCTCCAGATGTGGAACTTTCAAATGCATGGGCAACTTTTTCGCTGACTGTGAGTCATCCTGCAGGAACTTTGCCGCACACAGTCTGTCACCACATGTCACCACTATATTTTGAATTATATGATGTAATCAAATATGATTGATTATAGGCGGTATTATATTACTAGATCGAACTCGAATTCCTCTTGCCGCATCTTGAGCTGCAGCTTTGTCGACCTTTGCCTCAGGAGATGCTGCTGGCAGAGCAAACCCAAGATTCAGCGCAAAAATCGCAGCCCGGTGATTGTTGGCGATGAGTTCAAGGCGGTTCAAGGTGTTGGAACCTCCAATTCCACGAAGTTTTGCGTTGGTTTCAGTTGATTGACTAGTCAGAGTTGGACCGGCAACATCCTGCGGCATTTGCTAATATGTGTCATTCTCATATTGTATAATTGTGGTTGGTGCTGGTTTGCACCGGATTCACAGGCCAGCCAAATGCAAAACAGGTCCAAAACCAAAGTTGTTCCCCACCAGCGAAGAATATTGAAGAACCTGCGGTTGTTTCTATTTTGTTGTCGGAGGTGGTACTTAGGCTCTTGGCCTCCCAGGTATCGATCATCCGGTTGTGCATTTCAGTAATCTACTTAAAAGTCGACTGGCAGGCGGGGCGCAAAGATGTGGGTTGAGTTGGAACTGGAGAGAGAATGGACATGCCAGCGTTGCCATTTTGAAAGCCATCCATTTTGGGGGTATATAGTGCTTCCAAATGCTTCCTGTTTTTGGTGCCAACAAGTCAGTCAGTCGCTCGATGAGTCCGGAGGCAGCACCTTTCAACCTGAGCCGAGGGTTCAGGTCTAATTCGCATTCGGAGTGCTACCAAGCTGAACATTAGCTTGTTTCACCAGCGGCATGCCGCACTTCCGAGGCAAGACTGCAGGTTGGTGCCAGTGCCAGCTTACTCCCAAGCTTTAAATCCCAATAGATCCTTGTTATGCGATTTCGTGGCGTGGAAAATCGGATATGTCAGCTGTGTTCGGCAAATTCAACGAAAGCTGCTGCCGAGATTTTGAGCACTGATTGTATCTTCAATTCTTTTTGCCCCAAGTTTTTTGGATCTCACCAGTGAACGCACCCCGGGGCTTTTGATAGTCACAAAGCTCATGGCGACAAATCTCCTTTTCGGATATTCCTGTTGCTTGATTGCTGGCATCGGTTTCGCAGTGAACTACCTGCCGGTGAAGAGTTGTGACATTGGTGATGGAATCTTTTTCTCTGCGGCGATGTCAGTAGGAATCCTTCTCGTGGGCTTGGTCACAGGGATGTTCCTCACCTCAACACCAAATGTCGAAATCCCCGCCTTCGAGCCTTTAGCTGCAGCTGGTGGGGCCATGTGGATGCTGGGAAATTTGATGTGCCCATACATCATCCAGACCATCGGCCTCGGCCTTGGCCTCACCGTTTGGGATCTGAGCAATATGCTCATGGGATGGGTCACAGGCTACTTCGGGCTTTTTGGTCTTCCCAAAGAACAGGATGTGAAGCAGCCATGGGCCAACTTTGTTGGCCTGGTGCTGGCATCTGTCTCGTTGATTTTCTTTTCCCTTGCATCTGCATTTGATGACTTCGAACCTGCACGAGAGGTCGAGATAAAGAAGGTAAATTCGGACGCCTCAACAGCGGCTTCATGTGGAGATTTACCGGACATCGAAGATGGGCAGAACGTGCAGAAGCCGACACTGAAACATGGGGAGCGAGGGGCTGATGCTTCAGATCGCGCAAATCCCATGAAGGCAATGTTGGGCTTCTCAATGGCAATCCTAGCAGGCGTTTTGTTTGGCTCAACGTTCGATTTGCCAATGGATCTCAAGAATGGCGTCTTTGGTCCAGACCACAGCCAGCACATCATGGACTCTGTGTTTAGCCATTTCATCGGTATCTCTGCTGCAGCTTCGGTCGCCCTCACAGTCTACATCACGGTTAGGGGGAAGAAGAGCTTCTTGCAACGGCAGCTCATCGTTCCTTCTTTGGTCTCTGGTGTGATTTGGGGGATCGCGCAAGTGGCATGGTTCCAAGCAAACATCGAGGTGGGTTTCGCGATAGCGTTTCCGATCATCGGTAGCCTTCCAGGCATCATCGGGCTTTTCATTGGATGCTGCTGTCTAGGAGAAGTCAGGACTACACGGAGCCGCATATTTTCACTTGTCGGCCTGCTTCTGAGAGTACCAGGAGTCCTGCTTATCGCCCTTTCCTCAGTGTAGTTCAGATATTAGTTGGAGAACCAGGACTGCTGCAATGTCGGTGGTGAATAGCTGGATGATGGATGACTAGGGTCATTTCCATCCACTCCGATAATCCTAATTAGAAAGATTTGCTGTTGGTTTAGTCTCCTTCAGTACTGCAAGCATTTTCGTCGAGCTTCAATGCTTCTGTAGAGCAGAACTATAAAGCTTGTCTCTTCCCTGCTTAAGTCTTGGTGAGATTCTGGAACCTCGTGTTGGTGCTCTAGTTCATCACCAAGCAGCCTATATCTTCCCATGCCCTTGTCTCTTTTGCGCTCGAATCGTAGCTATACTTTACTGTATATTGTATATGTAGCCGTGGTGCTTCTGCGCATCCGATGGGCCAGCATCAATTTTCCATTGTACAGATATTGTTAGAATGTATAGTCTATCTACTGTACAGGGGTTCCGAGTAGCCCTCAACATGAAGATCATGAAGCAGTTGCACTCATTTGCGCTGACAACCTTTTGTGGACCTTGCGGTTTGGGGTTGAAGTCAAACAATATATCCAGAACATTACCATTACTCCAGGAACTTTGAATAGCTTTGAACTTTGATGGCTTCGTCCGTCGCGAGCGTTGCGCTGGCTGACAGAAGGAGAGAGACAGAGAGAGAGAGTCATAGAAAGTCCTCACAACTCACAACGCACCAATTTACAGAAGATAACACCAGGCAGGATCAAGCATCAGGCAGGAAAATGCAGACAGTCAGAAGGAGCAAAGGCCCGTTGATACCCATCACTTCGCAACAATTTAGCAGCATCTAGTAGCATCATCAAAGCTCATGGCGACAAATCTCCTTTTCGGATATTCCTGTTGCTTGATTGCTGGCATCGGTTTCGCAGTGAACTACCTGCCGGTGAAGAGTTGTGACATTGGTGATGGAATCTTTTTCTCTGCGGCGATGTCAGTAGGGATCCTTCTCGTGGGCTTGGTCACAGGGATGTTCCTCACCTCAACACCAAATGTCGAAATCCCCGCCTTCGAGCCTTTAGCTGCAGCTGGTGGGGCCATGTGGAGGCTGGGAAATTTGATGTGCCCATACATCATCCAGACCATCGGCCTCGGCCTTGGCCTCACCGTTTGGGATCTGAGCAATATGCTCATGGGATGGGTCACAGGCTACTTCGGGCTTTTTGGTCTTCCCAAAGAACAGGATGTGAAGCAGCCATGGGCCAACTTTGTTGGCCTGGTGCTGGCATCTGTCTCGTTGATTTTCTTTTCCCTTGCATCTGCATTTGATGACTTCGAACCTGCACGAGAGGTCGAGATAAAGAAGGTAAATTCGGACGCCTCAACAGCGGCTTCATGTGGAGATTTACCGGACATCGAAGATGGGCAGAACGTGCAGAAGCCGACACTGAAACATGGGGAGCGAGGGGCTGATGCTTCAGATCGCGCAAATCGCATGAAGGCAATGTCGGGCTTCTCAATGGCAATCCTAGCAGGCGTTTTGTTTGGCTCAACGTTCGATTTGCCAATGGATCTCAAGAATGGCGTCTTTGGTCCAGACCACAGCCAGCACATCATGGACTATGTGTTTAGCCATTTCATCGGTATCTCTGCTGCAGCTTCGGTCGCCCTCACAGTCTACATCACGGTCAGGGGGAAGAAGAGCTTCTTGCAACGGCAGCTCATCGTTCCTTCTTTGGTCTCTGGTGTGATTTGGGGGATCGCGCAAGTGGCATGGTTCCAAGCAAACATCGAGGTGGGTTTCGCGATAGCGTTTCCGATCATCGGTAGCCTTCCAGGCATCATCGGGCTTTTCATTGGATGCTGCTGTCTAGGAGAAGTCAGGACTACACGGAGCCGCATATTTTCACTTGTCGGCCTGCTTCTGAGAGTACCAGGAGTCCTGCTTATCGCCCTTTCCTCAGTGTAGTTCAGATATTAGTTGGAGAACCAGGACTGCTGCAATGTCGGTGGTGAATAGCTGGATGATGGATGACTAGGGTCATTTCCATCCACTCCGATAATCCTAATTAGAAAGATTTGCTGTTGGTTTAGTCTCCTTCAGTACTGCAAGCATTTTCGTCGAGCTTCAATGCTTCTGTAGAGATCATGTAGACCAGAAAGCTTGTTTCTTCCCTGCTTAAGTCTTGGTGAGATTCTGGAACCTCGTGTTGGTGCTCTAGTTCATCACCAAGCAGCCTGCCCTTGTCTCTTTTGCGCTCGAATCGTGGCTATACTTTACTGTATATTGTATATGTAGCCGTGGTGCTTCCGCGCATCCGATGGGCCGGCATGAATTTTCCATTGTACAGATATTGTTAGAATGTATTAGTCTATCTACTGTACAGGGGTTCCGAGTAGCCCTCAACATGAAGATCATGAAGCAGTTGCACTCATTTGCGCTGACAACCTTTTGTGGACCTTGCGGTTTGGGGTTGAAGTCAAACAATATATCCAGAACATTACCATTACTCCAGGAACTTTGAATAGCTTTGAACTTTGATGGCTTCGTCCGTCGCGAGCGTTGCGCTGGCTGACAGAAGGCAGAGAGAGAGAGAGAGAGAGAGTCATAGAAAGTCCTCACAACTCACAACGCACCAATTTACAGAAGATAACACCAGGCAGGATCAAGCATCAGGCAGGAAAATGCAGACAGTCAGAAGGAGCAAAGGCCCGTTGATACCCATCACTTCGCAACAATTTAGCAGCATCTAGTAGCATCATCAAAGCTCATGGCGACAAATCTCCTTTTCGGATATTCCTGTTGCTTGATTGCTGGCATCGGTTTCGCAGTGAACTACCTGCCGGTGAAGAGTTGTGACATTGGTGATGGAATCTTTTTCTCTGCGGCGATGTCAGTAGGGATCCTTCTCGTGGGCTTGGTCACAGGGATGTTCCTCACCTCAACACCAAATGTCGAAATCCCCGCCTTCGAGCCTTTAGCTGCAGCTGGTGGGGCCGTGTGGATGCTGGGAAATTTGATGTGCCCATACATCATCCAGACCATCGGCCTCGGCCTTGGCCTCACCGTTTGGGATCTGAGCAATATGCTCATGGGATGGGTCACAGGCTATTTCGGGCTTTTTGGTCTTCCCAAAGAACAGGATGTGAAGCAGCCATGGGCCAACTTTGTTGGCCTGGTGCTGGCATCTGTCTCGTTGATTTTCTTTTCCCTTGCATCTGCATTTGATGACTTCGAACCTGCACGAGAGGTCGAGATAAAGAAGGTAAATTCGGACGCCTCAACAGCGGCTTCATGTGGAGATTTACCGGACATCGAAGATGGGCAGAACGTGCAGAAGCCGACACTGAAACATGGGGAGCGAGGGGCTGATGCTTCAGATCGCGCAAATCGCATGAAGGCAATGTTGGGCTTCTCAATGGCAATCCTAGCAGGCGTTTTGTTTGGCTCAACGTTCGATTTGCCAATGGATCTCAAGAATGGCGTCTTTGGTCCAGACCACAGCCAGCACATCATGGACTATGTGTTTAGCCATTTCATCGGTATCTCTGCTGCAGCTTCGGTCGCCCTCACAGTCTACATCACGGTCAGGGGGAAGAAGAGCTTCTTGCAACGGCAGCTCATCGTTCCTTCTTTGGTCTCTGGTGTGATTTGGGGGATCGCGCAAGTGGCAAGTTTCCAAGCAAACATCGAGGTGGGTTTCGCGATAGCGTTTCCGATCATCGGTAGCCTTCCAGACATCATCGGGCTTTTCATTGGATGCTGCTGTCTAGGAGAAGTCAGGACTACACGGATCCGCATATTTTCACTTGTCGGCCTGCTTCTGAGAGTACCAGGAGTCCTGCTTATCGCCCTTTCCTCAGTGTAGTTCAGATATTAGTTGGAGAACCAGGACTGCTGCAATGTCGGTGGTGAATAGCTGGATGATGGATGACTAGGGTCATTTCCATCCACTCCGATAATCCTAATTAGAAAGATTTGCTGTTGGTTTAGTCTCCTTCAGTACTGCAAGCATTTTCGTCGAGCTTCAATGCTTCTGTAGAGCAGAACTATAAAGCTTGTTTCTTCCCTGCTTTAAGTCTTGGTGAGATTCTGGAACCTCGTGTTGGTGCTCTAGTTCATCACCAAGCAGCCTATATCTTCCCATGCCCTTGTCTCTTTTGTGCTCGAATCGTAGCTATACTTTACTGTATATTGTATATGTAGCCGTGGTGCTTCTGCGCATCCGATGGGCCAGCATCAATTTTCCATTGTACAGATATTGTTAGAATGTATAGTCTATCTACTGTACAGGGGTTCCGAGTAGCCCTCAACATGAAGATCATGAAGCAGTTGCACTCATTTGCGCTGACAACCTTTTGTGGACCTTGCAGTTTGGGGTTGAAGTCAAACAATATATCCAGAACATTACCATTACTCCAGGAACTTTGAATAGCTTTGAACTTTGATGGCTTCGTCCGTCGCGAGCGTTGCGCTGGCTGACAGAAGGCAGAGAGAGAGAGAGAGTCATAGAAAGTCCTCACAACTCACAACGCACCAATTTACAGAAGATAACACCAGGCAGGATCAAGCATCAGGCAGGAAAATGCAGACAGTCAGAAGGAGCAAAGGCCCGTTGATACCCATCACTTCGCAACAATTTAGCAGCATCTAGTAGCATTTGATTTCCAGCAGTTTTCCAAACCACTTCTTTCCATCCTTACTGGATGCCGAGCCTGACGTGCCCTGCCACACCTGTCAGAGACTAAGTTACTTTTTTTTCACAATCTTCAAGCGAGGAGTTCTGAAGTTGGTCAGGGTATGCTGCATGGATTTTGTTGAGTTTTTCAGAGAGTTTTTCCATATTCTTGCTCTCTCTTTCTCTTCGTTCCCATCGTTCCCTTCTTCCACCTGAACCTTGGTCCCTCTCCCAATGAATTGCAACATTTTAAAAAAAAACCTTCTGTCTCTATATCTTATGGTATCTATGATTTTGCTTGCGACTTGAAATTCAACATGTTGAGACAGACTGGCTGGTGCTTTGAAATGCAATATATATATACTTGTATATGTGCACCGACACATGACATTTATAGATTTGGGATGATCCCCCATGACTGATATTTGTTGGATGGGTTGAAACTACCAGCAGGCTCCAATGTGGCCGGCAGCTCCACTCGCAGCACAAGCAGCGCAGGATGCGCAGCATTTCTTTTTGGAAACCCCGGTGGCGGGGTATGATGTTCGAATGATGTTTGATATTATGCTGGTAGTGTACCCTGCATTATTGCATATTATCATATTATCATACTATTACATTTTTCTGAATGGATACCCCAGAAGCAATGGGTTTATTTGTGCAATCACTGGATAAACATGATGAATCTTCGATTTCAGATCGTAGTTGTTATCGTTCTTGTTATGTGTGGACATGACATGACATGACATGACATGCGCGACAGGGGTCCAAAAAAAAAGTAAATCCACACCTTTTTGCCAGGCGGCTCAGATACATGGGGCTGCAGCTGCAAAAGCGGTCCCGAACTTGGTCCCTGGCCGGACAAACAAAATATGAAGTGAATGAAGTGAAAGCAAGGCATGACATCAGATCATGAGCCTGCGTTTGTGAGATGTCGACCAGCGCTTTGCCATAGTTTTTGGATGTATTTTATTATATATATATATAATATTATAATATAATAGGGAAGGAAACCGACCAAACCAACTGTGAACTCGAAACCATCCCTGCTTTCTCGGCCAGAGCCATTGGAGTCCAGGTCAATCCAGGTCAACTGGCATCAGACAAGCCACGATGGTTTCAATTCCTGTAACATCCAATGAATAGTTTACGAAGCTCAATGCAATCTGAAGGTTTTTATGATCAATGATTGGAATCCCAGGCCCAGACGAGTTTGGAATTTAGAGATGTCGATCAGCGGATCAATGCAAAACACGTTGTGCAGGAAGAACTGTTTGTTGGATGCAGCACGTGATCGTTTGCTGCAACCTATGGTAAGTCATGACAAGGTCCTAAGGTTGAGCCCGGACCAATACTTTAATCATTTCGTCAATCATCATCAACAAATGACCAAACATATATTTCTACCCACGCAAGAGAGAAAACGAAACATAGCAGCGTTTGCGGTGGAAAAGCGAACAGGACAGGAGGTGAACCTTTCCCAAGGCCTTTACTTATCAATACTTATCATACTCATGGACCCTTTGCTTGGTAGATCTTGGTAGTAATTAAACGTATGTAAAAGTGGTGCCTCCATGTCCGGCTGGCCTACATGTCGTCATGCTGCTGCTACTCCTGGCGGCCCTATTTGCAAGTGCTGGGTGGAAGATTGTGGCCACTGCCTCTTGGTGATGAAGCGATGCAGTAGACCTCAGGTCTATCATGGAAAGTATCGAAAACGTGGCGAAGGGAGACAGAAGGACACAAACTATTGACATCTATTGACAAGTGCTTTGAGACAATTTTCACCGACCGCCTGCTTGAATTGCCGCGAATCCTCCTGGATTTTGATGGTTTTTTCAACACGAGCAGTCGGCGCATGTCGGCGCAGTCGAAGGTTTTGGCCATTTGGGGAATTCACCGCTTGTTCACGTGGTGGCGTGGCATCTCCATTTCGATCGCTTCAGCCTTATTCAGCCTTAGACCTGCTTGATTCATCTTGATTCACCGGTTCTCTTAGGAAGCCATCAGAGATCATCAGAAGCCAGCTAATGCCAGCTATGGGCATCGTCTCCCGTATTTAGTCGGATTTTGGTCAAGCGAACATGCAACATTTTCAAGCTCCCATGCTAGCGATTGGAGACGATACACTATACACCACTTTCATCCACTTTTCTCTAACCAACCACTGCCATCTGGTTGTGAAGTTGTTGCCAACTGTTGCCCAGGACGGAATACAAGTCCACGGGGGGCCCAGACAGAAGAGCCGCAAGGCATCCGACATCCCTTGCACTGCAGTGTATGATTGGTGGAAAGATATATATATATATGCATGTATAACACAATGCCTCAGCTATGATGATCATAATCATAATCCATATCAAGTATTGTCCAGTAATGTAGGAATTCATGTCCAAAACTAGCAGCTCAATGCAGCTCATGTATGGTTATTCTCGGAGTTCATTCTTGATATTCTTGGTCCAGGATTCCTTGGGACATCCATCACCTCGGCGAAAAGGCAGAGGGACCCCGGTTGCAACACAAGCGTATCTCTGAACTGAAAGAAGAGGAGGCACAGGCAAGAGATGGCAAGAGATGGCAAGAGATGGCAAGAGATGGCAAGAGATGGCAAGAGATGGCAAGAGATGGCAAGAGATGGCAAGAGGTAGAGCGATAGCGAAACATCCCTCGCCCTCTGGAATCAGCTTTGGCAATGGCAAGTCCAAATTGTAATGTGAACATCTATAAATAGATACAGTAGATCCTTTTATGCACAGTTTTCATTACAAGGCACAGTAATCTTCATGCATTCATCCCCACCTAGCGGGTTTGTTCTGCCAGGCCGCCAAGAACGTGCCCCAGAGGGCTTCATGACTCCAAAGTCTGAAGTTTCAGAGGCGCCGTCACAAGCATCACACGCGTTGGATGTGAAAATCCACTACCGCCCTGGGCAACACGTCGTGACGTCGTGACACCCGCAAATCCACCCCCAAAGATCCCCCACAGACATTTTCATGTTGGTCATAGGCTTTTGGAAGATCTTAGAAGCATTTTTCTGATTGATTCATTGAAGGATTTCGTGGAATGGGCACCATTTTGGCCATCCTTACCCTGTGGCGAAAGTGCAGAAGGTGTGGCCCGTTTCACTTTTTACATTTGAAGTCTGGCCAGCAACACATGGAATCCAAGCAATGACAGATGTGTCTTGAACCTTGGAAGCAACGGTCTTGGTTTTGCGTCTGCACGTAACAGATTCTCTAAAAGGTTCGGCTTCTCCGTGCTTTTAAAAGTTTTGCTATTTTGCGTTACCCTATGATCTTCGTTTGATGAGTCAATTCCCTATTGGATTCCCGTTGAAATCGGTCAGATTCCCAGTAAGTTCCCTTAAGCTCCAATTTCACCTGTTTCGCCCAGGGAGTACGTCACCTTTTGCGGAGCTGCCAAGTGAAGCCGAGGCCAACAGAATGTGAGGGTCGTGACATGTCGTGACATGGATAAGGGTTTTTGATGATTTCTGGATGTTGTTCAACTGTTCATTCTTAGTTCTTGCTGATTTTTGCGGCCTCATTCAGTATCATTTTTATTTGGCATTAGATTCCTGTTCGAAGGTGCAGCCTTACTGGCTGCAGTGTGATGCGGCGGTTTTTGATGTGCCTTGGTCCTTGCATTAAGTTGCATTGAGGACGCACTCGTTCCCTTGACCACTCTCTTAGAGTGCTTGAGTGACTGCTCCGCTGCTCTGCGAAAGTGGCGGAGTGGGCACCATTTTGTTCGAGTTTATCATTTTTTTTGTGGATACTTCCGCGTGTTCTCAATTTGGCTTGAGCAATGTGGATCGTTGGTGCTGACTTAGGTACGAAATGTCGGTTACAAGCAAACAAGGGAGAAGATACCATCGCAATTTGCACTCTATGAGTGCGTTGGAATGGACATCGTGTGGCTTGCTGACATTTAATTGGTTCAGATGTGAGAGTTGTAAGTTGTTGTTAGGCTTCGCATGTGGAGACTTTGCGCCTCGTGAATGTTTCTTGAATTCACTTGCCTCATTCTCCCCACTTCATTTTTAGATAGAGGTAGCTGGTAGCTCAGCCAGATTGCATTGTGAATCTCTTGGCCCCTAAATGATCTAAATGCCCCTGATTACTTATTGAATCTTATTGAAACATATTGAAACCTCAGTTGAGATTTGATGGCGCAGCCAACCCTTGCAATCGAATGCAATCGACAGTTGTTGAACGAAGGCGCGACAATCGACGAATCGATTGAGTCTCGGCAGAGAACATTCCGTCCATTGTGTCGGAGGGTCCAGCTCAGGTGCTGTTGATTCACATGATTCACCCTTGCCAAGTCATGCCAAAGCTATTGATTAAATGATATCAAATGCGTTTAATTATCAAATATGTTTAAATAGCTTGGGAGAAGAACCTGGTCGATATGGTTAGATCAGTTGTATTTATAAATATACCGCATTGATTCATTGGAGTATCGTCGGAATATCAATGGAATTTCATTGGACATGTTGGAATCTCATGAGATAGATAAATAAACAAATAAATTTAAATTTAAATAAATAACATAATATTCTATTTATACCTCGTGGAGAGAATTAATATACATATAATACATACCTCAGTGATAGAAGATATTCAGCTACCATTTTTGTACCCCATCTTCTATGTTTCTTGTTTTCGGAAAGGCGTTTTTGGAAGAATCACATAGAAGATACTATGTCAAAATAGAGCCAAAACCAGGGTCGGAAAGGATTTTGGAGCCCGCTTGGAGGACCTTGCTGCGGATCCATTTTTTGATCTTCTGTCTTTCCGGTAATTTTTGACCCCCATCTTCTATCTTTTTTTGATCTTCTATCTTTCCGGTCCGGGGCGTTATCTGCAGCCAAGACAAAATGGAAAATGTCAGTTTCAGGGCTTTTTGCTGCTGCTGCTGCTGCCGCTGCTGCTGGCCTGCTGCTGGCCCCAATTTTGCATCTTCTATGTTTCTTTACTATTTAATATCTTCTATCACTGTGGTATGTAATATAATTACACACACGCACACACACACATATATATACTGTATATATACATGAGAAACCATTGATATCATTCGTATTCCAGGGCTTTCCTCAGGCATTCTAGACCGCCTTCGGGAAGCAGACTTACCATCGAACTGGCCGGGAGCAAGGCGGGCGAAGGGGGCCGAGGTGAAGCCCTCAAGCAAGGGAGAGCAAAAAAGTATATGAATGGATCTGAAATATGTGTTCACACGCACACATCACAGAATAAGTAAACAATAAGTAAATCAATCAATAATCTCTCTCTCTCTCTCTCCCCGGTTCTCTGTGTTTGTAACTAGAGGATAATGAAGTGTTCTACTTAATGGCCAATGGCCACCAATTGGGAAGATGAAAAGCTGGTTTCTCCGTTTTGCTTGGAGCCCCAGGTGGGAGGAACCGTGGAAAGTGCCACGGGTCCTGATTTTCAATTGCCAGGCCGGAGTCCCGCCAGCTTCTTATGTTTGTACTAATTATATACACAGACCCCGAGGTTTTGCCCAAGCCCAGAATAGTTTGTGCAAATACCAGGGAATTCTGTACGACGTCAAACAAAGGAAGGGATTTTGTGTTCAATTATGTTGCTAGGGTGTTAATCAGAAGATGTTCCTTCTACACATATCATATAACCAAAACATGTTGCTTCTACATATCATATGGAATTCTATAACCATAATTACATTCATTAGGGTTTCTTATAGGGTTTCAAGAAGATATCAAAATCCAGTCATTGGGGTTTCTTACAGGGTTTCAACAAGACATCAAAATCCCCCACCCCATGGAACAATTAGCCATACAGTCATTAGGGTGTCTCATAGGATTTCAACAATATACAAAATCATCATCACCACCACCACCACCATCACCACCACCACCATCACCATCATCATCATCATCATCATCATCATTATCATCATCATCATCATCATCAGCATCATCATCATCCTCCTCATCACCATCATCCTCATCATAATCACCATAATAATAATAATCATCATCATCATCCTCATCATGACCATCCTCCTCATCATAATCCTCCTCCTCCTCATCATCATCAGATCATCAGATCATCAGATCATCAGATCATCAGATCATCAGATCATCAGATCATCAGATCATCAGATCATCAGATCATCAAATCATCAGATCATCAGATCATCAGATCATCAGATCATCAGATCATCAGATCATCAGATCATCAGATCATCAGATCATTCATCATCATCATCATCATCATCATCATCATTCATCATCATCATCATCATCATCGCTTGCCCGGCCGGACGCTCGTTGCGAGTCCGGGCAAACCTCAGGGTCTTGCCGCAATTGTAGCGGCTAATTAGCAATTGGCCAACAGTTTTAAAAGATAGATGTGACACGATGTGACACGTTTAGCCAATGACTGTCCACGGTGCAGGTGCCATATACTGCTGGAAAGATCTTTGGATCGTATCCGGAAGAGGATGGCGGCTTCAGTACCTTGCGCAGATTTGCTTGAAACCAACCATTTTTCTGAGATGGGCCACCTTCAGTGGGACAAATCGCATTGGAAGTGGACCTGTGGAATGCAAGGCTCCCCCCAAAACCAGGGAAACGCAGGGAAATGCAGGGAACAGGGGACATATCACTTGATTTCAAGCCATGGCTGTCTTCCTTGAGGCATCCTCAACTACTTTGTGCTCTCCCGAGAGGTGCTGTAGAGGAAATTGTTGAGTTGATATGCTCAGATTCACTGTGTTTTTTTCATGGGAAGGCACTGCGGAAGGCATATGTGGATCCAAATCAATCCTAACCAAGACCACTACTGATTGTTGGACGACCACCGAGACACACGCGGAACGCTACTGGCAAATCCGAATCGGATGTGTTGATGTGCTCTCTTCATGGTGACTAAACTGCCACTGGCCACACTCGCTTGCATTCAGGCTTCCGAACTGTTGGCATGGAATTCTCCGTGCTTTGGCTTGGCTTTAGCATTAGCAACGTGCAATCCTGTAGAGTTAAAAGATGAAGCAGCTTCTGCTGTACTAAGATGTTGTTGTAAAGTGCTGCTGCTTGAAGAAAACAGCATGATCAAGTGAAACTGTTTAGAAACACCACATGCCGCTGACAATGTCCTGCAACTCTTTGGCCATTTCAGTTTTGTTTATGGAAAGCCTGCATCGTTTGAGCGTATAGTGGAAGAGATTTCAGAGGACCCCTGCGCTTCAACTATGGAAGAGATTTGTGGAAGAAGGCGTCTCAACCAAGGAGGGCATCTCCCTCAAGGCTTGGTGCTGCCATTTTGACAGCGCTCGGCTATTTGTTGGCAGCCAGGTCGTTGGTCGTGTGGAGGATTTGGACAAGCATGAAGTCCCGGAGTCGTTCAAACGTGGCACGGTTCAAAGTGTTTGCCCAAAGGTGGTTGATAGGCTACTGATAGGGTCACAGTAGATACAGTAGGTTGAACGCAGCTTGTTAGACGCCCGAAAGTCATAGCTGCCACAAGCATGGTTTCCATGTGCGTACATTTGACAGACTGCTTCCAGTACCGAGGTTTCAACAACAAGCCTGTTCTGTTGACGCGGAGTGCCACCGTGCCCTTGCCAAGATTCATCAAGATTCGCTTATTTATGCTATGCTGCCATGTTTGGTCTGGAACATTTTCGCCAGAATGCGCCATCAGCAAATAGGATGCAGGATGCATTTGGCATTTTTATGTATTTTAAGTTAAGGGGATTAATTATGATTAATTAATAATTAATATTAATTAGATTTTTAACTAGGTGATTCATGGTGATTCCCAACACCACACAGTTCTCAAGTTTGACAACACGTTGTTGTTAAAACATGTTGAAATCATCCATTTCCTGTCGCTCGGATATGGATGATCTTGGATCATGGGGTGTTGCTGAGATCTACAAGAAAAGGCTGCCAGAGGTACTCGAGATAGCGCCCGGGTTGCAAGGCATCCAGCGATGCAAACTATCTTAGATGGTTGTTTCATATTGTTTCAGTTCCAATTGGAGTAATTTTAGAACTTTCATATGATTTACACCGATTCCGTCATGTCCACCCCTGAGATTGTGAATGATAACCATTTTATCTTTCCCAGTTCAGTGGACATAGCATTGGGATGAGTTGAAACAGACCAATGAGTTCTGGCATTTGCCTCTTTTACCGGTCGATCTCGCCAAGGACTTCGACGTGCGCAACTGGAACTACCCCACCCGCGCGGCGATGGTCTCCTATCATCATCGCGCAAGAGAAGCTGAAGTCGAGATCGGTTACCTCCTGGAGGGCAAGGTCGAATGGCACAGAATGGCAGGATTTGTTGAATATAATAGCATATGATATAGCATGATATAGCATGTATCAAGCCTTCGGAGAAATAGATGCTTCGCTTTTTTCCATGTCTCGGACGGCATGGTCTGGATTCTGATGGGAGTTTAATGTACTATGTTAGACTATGTTGTACTATCCTTGCCCCTCAGTAGCCACCTTAGCCGCACCTTAGCCGCACCTTAGCTTGTAGTTTTTATCCAGGACAGCTGCATTCCCAAAGTCATCCAAGTTTGATTCCCTGGCCTGGGCCAGGCAGATGATGAGTTGCCGGAGCAGTGGCTTGGCTACAAGTTTCGCAAATCAGAACAGAAAGGCTTGTTGCCAGCGCTGAAATCACCAATTGTTTGTATATTATTATACACTCATTGTTTTTTGTCGATATATTACATGATCTGAAGTAATGTTTGTCTTTTGTTGTCCATGCGCCGTTTCTATTTGAAATACAGACAGGCTGGTTGTGGGCGCGCAAAAGGCATTTTGTTCCCCAAGTATATTACATGGTCTAAAACAATATTGACCTTTGCTGTCCATACACAAGCCTTTTCTAGTGGAAAATAGAGCTTAGAGTGGTTCACCACCCAAAACAAAACAAAAAAAACAACAAAAACAAAAACAACAATCTTTTGGGGACTACTTGGATCTAGGCATGTTCAGACTAGTCTGGAAAACATGTTTTTTTTTGTTTCTATGGGTTTTTGATTCCTTAGCTTAGGATTAATCCAAATTGATCCAGATTATATAACCCAAACCAAATCTGATTCATTTTGCCTCCAAGGCATTCTTGTCAAGTAAGTATTATAGAAAGATATTGTATGCTAAATATGCGCAGTATTCCTTAGGGATGTGCAATTTTCCTTTTCAGGTGTGAAGCCTGCGGGAATGTAAAATTATGTTTTTGGATGTTTTTGGTGAAGGAAACCATTCCTTCAAATAAATCGTGTTCCTGTCCCAGTAGAGCGCAGCTGGAGTTCTTTGAAAGGCGTGTTACATATTTACAAAGAAATGGTGTGATTGAAAGGATTGCTACATATGTTCAAATCATGGTGTAACTTTCAAAGAGGCAGCTGATTCAAATTTCTTTTTGGTTATAGTAAAACATTTCCTTCAAACAAATCGTGTTCCTTCCAAACAGGTGGCAGCTGGGTTTCTTTGAAAGGAGTGTTACATTTTTTTAAAAGACATGGTGTTATTTTCAAACATAAAGGCCAGCTGAGCTTCTTTGAGAGGAATGTTACATCTTTAAAGGATACACTGCATATTTTGACATGATATTGTTTCTGTTGTTTAAATTAAACTGTTTAAATACGATTGCAACTTTAAGTTAAGTATTCAATCTTTGAAGAAACAAGATCTGCCTGAAGGAATGTTACCATGATGATAAAGGAAGAGGATGGGAATACTGTACTTTAGAATGCAATACACATCGTAGACAACACATATTCTTTAAACAATCCAACCTTCACAAAAATATTTCTTCCTGAAAATACATTTGACTAGCTCAAAAGCAACCACCAGCTTGTAAATGACAACAACTTTTTTGTTGAAGTGGATGTTTTGTAAGGAAAACTGCACTTCTTTGAAGAACTTCATTTCTTCAAAGCATTGTTTTCTGGGAATGTAGCACAGACATACAACTTACTAGACTACATGCAGATATTTCTCTTTGGGCAATGAAAGCAAGTGAAAAGAACTGCATTGCATGATATTGTTTGCAATTTTGCCTTTAGCTAAATGTGTTGCATTTTATTTGGCCAACTGTTGCACTATGCAGCTCAAACTCATTAAACATTATTATGTACTTCCACACCTGTTTGAAAACACCAGGGAATTTCCTTAATTTTCCAGCTGAAATAGGCCTTGAATTATATGGAAACATGACAGTAGTGTATTGTATCCCAAGGTTTCAAACCAATATATTTCCATTTTTCATGATGTTTGCCACACAAAAAGAAGGATAACTATTGTGTATGAGAAATGCATGACCTGAACTTACCCAATGTAATTTTGCATTTTATGTTACATACATATTCTGTTGCACCTAATGCTTCAAAGTGGAGATATATCATGTTTTCTCTTCTAATTCTAGGGTGGAATTTCGTCTTGGAATTTGGCACATTTTGAACCTAATGACTACAATTGTTCTAAAAGGAGTGCATTCTACAGCTGAATATGTGTTTTTCTCTGGGTCAGGCCTCCTCCTTTTAAACAAGGATACAAGAACATGAGGAAAGCATACTTTCCAATCTTTCCAGCGCTGGCAACAAGCGCCTCATCAGAAACAGGATCCTGAAAGCACCATTGAATCCATTGTAAGAGGCCTTTCTTTCCAACATTTTCCAACCATGGTTTTTTCTGCCCCCATGCTTTGGATTCGCATCAGTTTCCTTGCCACACCTTCGAGCTGAGGATCCTGGGCTGCTTTACTGAGCCTTGGACACAATGCCTTGATGGGAAATCACTGGGCCAACATGAAGACACATCACTTCCAGTGCAAAAATCTCCGCGTGGGGTATAGGACCTCATGGCGCAATGAACACTGTATCAACATACACCTGCAGCACTTGGGAACATGCCCTTCAGGATTAGTTTATTATGGTTTATCGGTACTGATGGTACTGGTACTTGTTCAAGTTGGATGGGATTTCCGCACGCTTCTATTCTTCTATTCATCAGCATGTTCTTTTCCTGTACTCCAGGTGAACAACATGGACATCATGGCAGCGAGATGGTTGAGCTGCAAGGAGAGTCTTTGAATGTGTTTTAGCATAGACGATGAGGATGGGTTCAAAATAGCCTCAGATCATCCAGGATCATTCAGGACCTACGAGTTGCAATATCTTGCAACTGTGTACATAGACATCAGGTCCCGAATGTCCTCCAGATGTCTTCAGATTGTGCCTCTAATGTGACACCGCCAAATGCGCCTGCCAAAGTTGCAAGGCTAGGAACGACGCCTCTGGAAGGGACATGAGAACAGCCCAGACATAGCAAACAACAAAAACAAGGTTCCTGTTTGGTCACATGCCGTTGTGTTTTTTGTTATCAAAATTATTGGGCAGCGCAAGGGAGGGATTCTAATTGACCATTAATTGACCATTTTGAACGGCAGAATGCGGAATTCAAGCACCACGGATTTGCGGCATGACCCAGGCGCAAACAGCTCAAGCTCATGTGCAAGCCGCGCAGGTAAACGTGTCGAAACGTTTCGGATCATGACTAATAGAATTGGCATTGCTGGAATTAGCAACCGGGCACGCAGGGCTTAGTTTAGTCTTAATTTGAGAGTGAATGGTGATATTAGAAAGATCATGAAAGATCATAAAGGTCCAATTTCATGAATGGACAGTGAGGCTTTTACAAAGGTGAAAGGTGTCTTGACCTAAATGTTTGCCGATTGTTTCGCCCTGTGTCGTGGCAGGCTGCAAATGCCTTGGCTCAGCAGGCAGCAGAAGCACAAATACGGTGCCTGTCGGTATGCCCAGATTGCAGGACTCCACAAGGTGCCTTGTTTGATAAATTTGATAAGAACAATGCTTATGTTATGGAGCTGCCTTACCGTTTTCAATTTGCAGCTGCATTGGAGATTAAACATGGGGGTGCATTGCAGCAAGATGCGGGGTTGTACTTTGTATGCCACATGCGAATTCGGTATGTTTTAGCCACTTTAATCTGCTCAACTTCAACTCGCTTGGATCTTGCATGTTTCCCCCCAACATCACCACAAAGATAAACACCAAAAAACAGGATGGAAGGAACGTCTCAAGACCAATCGCACAATGTAATCACAATCGAACATGCAATCGTGTCAAGGATATTCATGGCGTGCAAAGAACATTCTTGAAGAAATGTCTTGGTCGGTGGCTTTGAGACGGGCTCAAGACCGTCTAGAAAATGCAAATCCATGCAAATCCTTTGAGTCAATATTCTCTGTTTTTTTTTTCTCCATCATGTTTGTTCCAGAATCGGCCCACGGAGTTCAAAGACACAAGAAACATACTACAT